AATCAGTCTGAGTACTGAGTTCTATGTACTGAGCCATGACCAGGTGATGCTTCTAGAATGTTAGTGTGTCCATGCTCTAATCATGGAATCGTGACCAGTCTCATTTGCTTGAAACATATTTTATTGTCTCCATTTGCCCCCATGCGATTAAAAGTAAACAGTCTGCCGAGCGAGTTCCATGATGTACTGAACCAGGACCAGGTGATGCTTCTATATATATATATATATATATATATATATATATATATATATATATATATATATATATATATATATATATATATATATATATATATATTGTGTGTGTGTGTGTGTGTGTGTGTGTGTGTGTGTGTTTGTGTGTGTTTATGTGCGAAGAGATATAGATATATATGCACACACATACATGCAAACACTCAAAAGAAGTGTATGTGTATTCTATGAAGAATGATGAAATAAGATATAATATTAAGTATGTATAAAAATGCAGTATTTCATGCATCAATAAGGGGCGGCCGGGTAGCCTAGTGGTTGAACCGTTCGCTCGTCACGCCGAAGACCCGGGTTTGATTCCCGACATGGGTACAATGTGTGAAGCCCATTTCTGGTGTTTCCCGCCGTGATTTTGCTGGAATGTTGCTAAAAGCGGCGTAAAACCATTCTCACTCACTCACTCGCTCACTCACTCATGCATCAATAATGTCTATACATACAATAATATAGGCGTATCAAGGTACAGTGATAGTATTAAATGTTTAATACGTCATGAACTTGTTTTTAAAGAAAGAAAATGTTATAAATTCATGTGAAAACCTGTTGGATTCTATCAATTTGACATATGTATGACTAAACTACTTGAAAAATATTATTATTATTATTATTATTATTATTATTATCAGATGATAAAAGAAGGGCTGTATTCCTGGAAGCAAACCCTCGTACTCTCCCAATGTCACTCAACAGATTGGTAGGTACCAAACCTAAGGCACCGAGAACAATGGGGAGTCGGACAACTTGGTACTTGGGATGCAAACGTGACATTTCGAAAGCGAGGTCCGCATATTTGCCATGTTTTTTGCTCAATCTTGTCAATCACATTAGTGTCAAAGGACATTCAATGATATAAATGATTTCATTGGATTTGTTTGTTTGCTGTTTAACGCCGCATTCAGCAATATTCCAGCTATATGACGGCGGTCTGTAAATAATCGAGTCCCGACCAGACAATAAAGTGATTGATGACATGAGCATCGATCCACAAAATTGGGACGCGATGACATGCATCAACCAAGTCAGCGAGTCTCACCACCCGATCCCGTTAGTCGCCTCTTACGACAAGCATAGACGCCTTTTACGACAAGCATGGGTTACTAAAGGCCTATTCTATCCCGGATCTTCACGGGTCTATGCAGGTTAGTGTATTTGGTGTAGAATAAGTTTTTCTAATGAGGGCCACCATTTCATCCATTGTATGCTTCATTCTGCAATTCTCATGAATTGATGCAAATGTCTATCTAATTGAAAAGGTTGTCTCATACAAATTCCAGATTACAGCAAGTGGCTTACTTAGAATGCCCATAGTTTAACACATACATACACTTTTCTCTAGAAAAAATGACTTCATTTCTTTTGCAAAACTCTTTGGTTTACGTCTTTCTCAATGATTGTCATGACCTGACATTTTTATTCGTCACATATCAGTTCTTACCACGTCACTAGATGAGATAAACATAATGGTGTCAATTACACAATGCAGAGTTGCTATTACGACAAGATGGTGTCAGGATAGTAGGGGCAGAAAACAAGATAGAACTCGTCCAAGGACCGTGTTTCAGGCGTTACAATGTAGAGACACAGAGACAAAACATATGACGTCGTATCGCTTGTGTCACAATGAGCAATATGACGCCATGATAGTGACACGGTAGTATAGAGACAAACCATGTCATCGTTCCAACAAACATTCTCAATATTCAAAAACATTTCCCGTTCTTTATGCTCCATGGAGGAAACGTCACATCAGTCCAGTGAAGAACACGGCATATGCTGCTGAATACAGCTGTGTTGTATGAGTTTTTAATACTTTTGAGCGGCATGTATATGCTTCCCTTCTATCAGTATGCACACTACAGTAGTCCATTGACCTTTAAAGGCGCGTAAAATGCTTCAGATGTAGTTATCTTTCATGACTCAATTTCCGACAGTGTTGTCCAACAAATACGGACTGACATGACCTCGTTTTCATTCGCCATTGAATTTCCTTCGTGAGGAGATGAAACATAATGATGCTGGTTAAACCATTTCTCCATTCAACAAACCCGTGTAAAGTCCGCTGACAATAGAGCATGCTGGGGTTTACGCCACGATTGAAAACGAACAATATCGTTTAATATATGTCGTCTGTGGCATGGCACTACTCGCCCCATGCAGCCAGCCTTCTTCTTATTGTGCTCATAATGTACTGGCATTAGTAGATTTGCCATAAAAGTGCTGAAAGGCAAATATTTTGTACTTTCAGAACAGTGAAATTAACATAACCTTTTAGGAATGTATAACTTTAAAAAAATGCAAATTGTGTAGATTGTACTTTCAGACCAAAGTAAATAACGCGAATTTTGTAAACGTTGTTATTTGAATTTTCCTCCCAGGTCAGAAAGAATGTGGGTCTGGATTGTGATTGTGCTTTCCATCCTTCCTTTAGAGTCATATGGTAAGTATTACTGATGTCAGTTGTTGATTAGATTAATGGCTCGATCTCTCCATCATTGACTCATGCTCGAATGCACTCATACATCCACGGCAATTTTGATTCTACAAGAAGGTTCGGCGTTTCCACGTAGAACTGTTTTTAAATTTCTTTTGTTGATATTACACGACGTATTTTCTTTCTTTATCTAAAATGTGTAGAGTATTTGTCACTCGTATTATTCATCCTAATCCTGTACGGTAACGACGAGGGGTGAGATGTCTGTATATCAGGGACCAAGTTTATTTCTTTATCATTTTCGTGTTTCACAATCACATACATTATATTACAGGTGTAAATGAAGGTAGATTTTATAGAATCTTTTGATAAACATTATGTTTTCAAATGTATAACGTTTGACAAAAAGAAATATATGTTGTCTCATATCCTCACGATTATTTCTTTTTACAACCACAACAGCTGATTGCCCATCCACTTGCAATAATGGAGGAACTTGCAACGTCAATGTGTGTGCATGTCGCGATGGATACAAGGGGCCGACATGCGATGCAGGTAAGTAATATGATGAACTTGACTTGTCTTATAAGCCTGGTTTACAGAAGGGTCGGACGTCGAAATAAAATTATTGGAACATGTTTGTTATTAGGAAATTCATAAAATAATTATTGGCGGGGGGCGATAAATGAAACTATTAGTTTGTAATGAAATATTATCCCTAACTCGGTTTTTTTTCAAGACACAAATAAAAAAATATATATGCAATTGTGATTTACAATACTTTGTTTCAGTGGATGTCTATGCGCTCTCCAAGGGAACCTCTGTTGCTGAGGGAGCGACATTTGACATAACAGTAACACGGGCTGATTCGGGAACGGCTGTCACGTTGACTGTGGCCACTTCTGGTGTTGCGACTTCCAACTCGGACTATGCCCTGCCTGCGTCCACTGTGGAAATGGCTGTTGGGAAAAGTGTTGCAGTTGTAACAGTTAATGTGATTGATGATGACGTGAGTGTCTGAACATCTCTTCCAGGTATACCGCTAACACATTGTCTATCTTACACTGGAGGTAAAAGCGCTGTTACGAGGTAGAACGAACACAGAATGAAATCTCAATGTCTGCTAAATGGATAAAACTATAGAGTAAATCATTTATTTTTTCAGAGTTATTTCCAGATCTAAATTTGCTTTTGATTCAATGATGCTAATTTTGGAAGATGGCATTTTGCTTTGTTTGGATATAACATAATTCTGGATAGTTTCTGAATAGACGTTTTTCTGGCCCAGTTTAACGTATCACGAAGGTGAGGTTTAGAATATGTTAATGTCGTTTAGATGTGCAACTACAGCTACATTTTATCTAATTTTAACTATTTCATAGATATTCACTAGAAATACCCGAAATGTTGACTGAGGCTTAACATGGATGTACGTCGCTGTAATTGTGATAAGGGATTTCACTGTATCATGTAAGAACATTCGTTTATTGGGGAGACATTGAAGTATTATTTCTAATTCGCCGATATTCCCCGATTGCATAATATTCATGCAAAGGAAGTGAAATATACAGTGAATTAGAATCATGTTTAACAAATATACGCTTCATAATATGGCACTGACGGAATATGTAAATTAGGTAAAAACCTTTAAACCCAGAGTTCCTCAAAGATAGTATGCTGATTCCTTACTGTTTTATGTATCAAACTAGATAAGGGGCGGTCGGGTAGCCTTGTTTTTTAAGCGTTCGCTCGTCACGCCGAAGACCCAGGTTCTACTCCCGACATGGGTACAATGTGTGAAGCTCATTGCTTGTGTCCCCCGCCGTGATATTGCTAGAATATTGTTAAAAGCGGCGTAAAATCAAACTCACTCACTCATACTAGATTATACAGATCTTGATTATAACACGCCCCGACAGAATTTAATCGTAGTTATTTATTCGCCGACTTGCTAAATGGAGCGACACTGTTACCATGATCTGGCAGGCAACATACATAACCACTTACTACATGACATTGTGTTACTTCTTGGCCTTGTTGTTCTTAGCGTTAATAAACTTTGTTTCAAGGAAGCAGAAATTGAAGAGGACATCACAGTCCAGATGACCCTGAACACTCCACCAAGCGCTACAACAATCAGAACAGTCCAATATATGATCACAGACAATGACCGTTAGTATGATTTATGTTAAAGGTAAACTTTTCACACATAACAATTTTTACTTATAGTTTTGTTCCTAAAATAGCGTGGACGTACATTCTACAACACCAAATAAATAACACAACATCCAATTATCAATATATATATTAATGAATAGGTGAGGTGAAATTTGGTTCAACGTCGCGTCCAAGATTATTGCACTTATATAGCGACGTGCATGTACGTGTGTGTGTGGCTGCTTGTACTAGTCCGGACTGATGCCGATTTATAGTGCTAGCGCACTGAGATACCATGCCGCAGTTTAACATGAATACCTCACTCAGACACAGTAAACTGACTCCGAGCCGACCAGTCCTTGTTTTAGCTCCTTAATGCCGAGCGCCAGACAGGGTAATATTAATGAATAGAAACTCTAACTAGTTGTGTGAATCATATACTTACCGACAAAAGAAACACGAATACAATACATGTTGATTAATATATAAAGACTTACTCATATTCAGGAGGTAGTACATTGGTTCGATGCACAAACGAACAAACTGTTATGTTGCGTGAACCGACGCTCAAGAACGCATCACATGTAACGTCATAGATCCATGACTCCAGATGCACCATTTGTTTCGCTCAGGATTAGCGTGTAAAGTTTGGAAATCACGTGCAGAATATCGCGATATGAATTAAGACACCGTGGTAACACTTAACTGATTGTTAGTTTTGTCATTACGTGGTACACATTGGAAATATCTCTTCTTGACGGACATACCTCACTATATGATTCTGTTGCTCGGGTTTCTTTAGGTAGTGAGCATAGATAACGACATAGCTGATTGTTAGGCTTTGATTCAGAGACACATCTTCCAAAGCGATCTTATATTATCGTTATGTCAATGTTCAAGTGTGGGAGTTACGAGTGTCTTGTGGACGATAGATATTTGGGAAACAATTACGAAAAAGTACAATACACATATGCAAAGTCATTGATTAGCAATCAAAGTATACTGATATCGAATTTTTTAACCTTGATACGTCAATCTGATTTTTGCATTAAAAAGGTATTTGACAAAAATGGCGTTTGGTATTAAAATGGTTTGACGCATAATAGAATGTTATTCACATTTGTATTCCTTACTTTGAGCTATTACTTTCTCCATCTGGCACTTACACTTCTAAGAGGGCAGTATCGATTTAGTTAACGTTATAGTGCGGCTTTCCATCAGGAAAATCCGAGTTGTCTTTGATGGTGTGGCTATATCAGACACAGCTCATTTATATTATACTTTGGCATAAACATTGTCGTGAACATATTTAACGTGCGCTGAATCCAGAAACAATGGTGCAAGCTCTCGGTTGATGCTACAAATTCTATCTAATTAACACATAATGAGATTCTTTTTTAACTTTCCAGCTCTTGGTATTGCATTAAACATAGCCACAAAAACAAAAGAAGGAAGCACCATTACTTTTAGTGGCGTTCAGTTCACCTTACCGAGTGGAGGTGCGAATCCAATCCCGTTGACGATGACGGTTAAGGCGATCACGGCGGCGGAGAACACAGACTACACCGTGTCGGCGACGTCTTCCGTTACCATCAACTACGACCCGGGGGATGCTGGATCTCGGAGCGCTCTCGACTCTTTTGTAATAAGTCTACCCGATGATGAGGTAAGCCTATAGTACGACAGAAACAGCACATGTGATCACTAACAACACGATATTGATGAATGTATAGGAACTTGCCAAATTTACGTAATAGATGCACACAGGTGCACACAGGTGCGGACATGCCTTAGGAACTTAGTTGGATATATTTGAATAGAAAAGGAAGGAACATGAGGACAAACAAACCGGATCATAAGGTCAAGGTCATAATCAAACTGGGTTTTAAAAGAGCTCTCTGCTGTGAAGGAGAGAAATAGGATGCGGTAAAGATCACAGACTAGTTGTCACATTGTGGCAGGTCTATTGTGGCGGTAATGGCAGATGCATATCATGGGGCTTGCATAGAAAGTAATTGGAAGTAAAGTGGTCAGATGACTCATTTTGTATCATATACATTGTCCAATAGCTCGTCGCCTTCTCCAATGTCTGGATTATGATGAAATGTATGATTGTGAATGAGTGATGTTTGAGTTTGGTTAACGCCACTTTTAACAGCATTCCAATTATGTCGGGGTGTCAGCTTAATATGGGAGAAACGCCGGAAGTGATGCCGGTCCAAGACGTGTACTACTTTGGTAAAACCGACGAGCACGGTTAGCGCGCATAGGGAATGCCGTTTTGAGATGAGATATATTGTGCGTATCAGTTTCAGATATTCTTTCACAACATGACTTCCGCATCAATTATACAGTAAGCCTTCTAGAAGGATTGCTGGAAGCAATTGTATACAATACCATCTAGAGGGGTTGCAATCTCTCTCTCTCTCTCTCTCTCTCTCTCTCTCTCTCTCTCACACACACACACACACGCACGCACGCACGCACGCACGCACGCACGCACGCACGCACGCAAACACACACATTCTCTGTCTTGCTTTTGTGGAATCTTAACCTAGAGCTACTCTCGCATAAAACTGCATTTTCTGTGTCACCGTTTCATTGAAGTCTTTATTTCTAACAGTTGGTTGAACCAGACAAGACTTTCAGCATTGACTTCACATCTGACTTCCTGCTGACAGGCGATGTCAGCACCAGCATCACTATTGAGAATGATGACCGTAGGTTGCAGAAACAAACATAACTGACCGTTGATTATTATCATGACATGTTTACATGTTTGTTTGTTGGAATGGGATGATGAAGATACTGATAAGCCATTTTGAGTGACTGAATGTTGTTGTTTTTCATTTATCTTAGAACAACCTGAAATTAATCAAGGTTAGACAAAAGAAACAAATCTGCCAGGCCGCACATTATATTCATTCGATTCCCATTTTATCTCTGAGGACTTTTTCTCATACGGTTTCCATACGGATGAAGAGTACAATGGCACAAATGATCCTGAAACTGGTTAATACCGCCTACGAAATAGTATTACTGTAAATGTCTACAGAGTGAAACCTCGTTCCTCCGGAATCTAATCGCAATAATTGATGAACATTACCGAATTTACGGATTAACCTATCGGTTTTATGTTCTTACATAAACGACCCGTGAAGATCCGGTCGTCAGGAACCCATGCTTGCCGTAAAAGGCGATTATGCTTGTCGTAAGAACACGACTAACGGGACCGTGTGGTCAGGATCGATGACTTGGTTGATTCATGTCATCGTATCAAAACTGCATGGATCGATGCTCATGCTGTCAATCACTGGATTGTCTGGACCCAGACTCGATTATTTACAGACCGCCGTCATGTAGCTGGAATATTGCTGAGTGCGGCGTTAAACCAAAAAACAAACAAACATCTTATTTACACTGCCTGCAACAGAAAGTATACACCCATATCATGTTTGCTGTTGAAAGAAATAAAATGAAGACTTTGAATGGCATTTAGAAGAGACACACGCAAGGAAGATAATTTATGGATGTCAACTTCTTATGATGAGGAACACAACATCACCTGATGAAGGAGTAAGTTACTCCGAAATGTTGTGTTCCTCATAATGAAGAAGTTGACAACCATACATTCTCTTCCTTAAGCAAGAAATGGTTATTCGATGGCGATGTATTTGATACGGGTATCATAGTTGTGTTCTGGCCCTAAGGTTGCAATATTTTGGCGTCTATTTTATGCCTACGTATTTGTGATAACGTTAAACTTTTCAATTTTGGGTCAAATCATATTTTCAAGTGTATACCTTCTATTGCCATGCAAATTTTGCAAATGTTCCTATCAGTGATGAACATTTGTTCACGTCAATGTGTTTCAGCATATGTCGTGACGGTAGCAGATCCTGGCGTTGTTGTAGAAGGGGGGACTGTGACACTGACATACACCAGGGACACCCCGGTTGGTGACCTGACTATCGACATCAGCAGTACCGATGGCACCGCCGTGTTTGCTCTCGATTACACTACAGCTGCCTCATCACTGACTTTCAACTTGCTTTCTGCTACCGCTCAGTTCACCATTATCGATGACCAAGTAAGTATGTTATTCTGGGGCCTTAGGGCCTACCACCGATGACGGCGTCGGTCGGGTAGCCCAGTGGTTAAAGCGTTCGCTCGTCATGCCGAAGACCCCTTTTCAATTTCCTACATGAGTACAATGTGTGAAGACCATTTCTTGTGTCCCCCGCCGTGATATTTCTGGAATATTGCTAAAAGCGGCCTAAAACCATACTCACTCACTCACTGGTACGGGTGGCCTAGTTTCTTACACGTTATAATTCCTTGTGCAGTAGTTCATTCTCAGCAGTGACTACGTTTCCCGTGTGTTTCACATCATGGCATCCGCCTACGACATGCGTGGCTTTAGGCCTTCCTCGCACAGTGATGTAACAGAAAAAAGATTTCAAAACGTCTTTATATCCATCAACGAAAGTATGGGGAAATACTACCGTTAGTTGTAGTCGGTTACACCAGAATAAGCTTTCCAGCTTTAAATCCATCAACGTAGGGTGTGAGGAAATAAGAGCCGTTGGTAGTAGTCGGTCACAACGTTGGTGGCCCCAAACGTCACGGATATTGGTGTGTACAAACCAGAAGAGTTATCAGTGGAGATCCTGGATAAGGAACGACTAAGGCAGAACTCTGGCAACCCTAGCAACATGCTGAGTCAGTAGCATCATCGGTCATCGTCGACATCCGATTGCAAAGAATATGTGAGGAGTTTGACATCCATAAATTCATAAGAAGTTGACATCCATAAGTTATCTTTCTTATAAGCAAGAAATGGTCATTTTCGATGTTGATGTATTTGATACGGGTACCATATTTGTGTTCTGGACCTTAAGGTTGCAATATTTGGGCAACATGCTGAGTCAGTAGCATCATCGGTCATCGTCGACATCCAATTGCAAAGAAAGAAAATACGGAAGTACTCTACTCAGCGCTAATACGCGGGCTATTTGGTGTGTGATTGGATAAATGTAAGGTTGGATTAAGGTAAGGATTCTCCTGTAAACCTGACAGAGGACGTTTTCTTTAGATATAAATCCACTGATGCTTGAGAGGAGGGGGTGTCGCATTCATATTGAGTCGCATTTTTGGCTAGGGACCAGCGGTCGCATTCTTTTGGAGACGCATTAATTTCACGATTTACAGTATGTGAGGAGGGCATCAGAGAGATGTTGGTGGATGAAGAGTCTCATATGTTCACAAATTTCAGATATGAAAAGTAAGTGATGCAACTTTCGTTGCAGTGTTTCCTATACATAATATGCTTACAGATATTTGTGGAGCGTTTCAGTCGCTATCGATCCACTGTGCTTTCTTACCAAACACACTGTCTACCTATATTTGTTGTGCGCTTCACACAGTCTGCTGATGATACGACAACTTGACTCTATTAAAAACGACAAAATCCTTCCCATAATCATCAGAAATCTTTGCTCAAAGCAGAGTTCATTTTACGAATCTCTATCAAATGGTGATGATATCAGATATCTTGAGGTGAGGTGAAATGGGGTTTAACGTCGCATCCAAGATTATTGCACTTATATGCCGTATGTGTATGCGGCTGCTTGTACTAGTCCGGACTGATGCCGATTAATAGTGCTAGCTCACTGAGATACCATGCAGTTTAACATGAATATCCCACTCAGACACAGTATACTGACTCCGAGCCGAGCAGTCCTTGTTTTAGCCCCTTAATGCCGACCGCCAGACAGGGTAACAACAAGTACCATATTTTAACGTCTTTTGGTATGACGTGGCTTGGGATCGAACCCCGGACCTTCCGCTCTCCGGGCGGACGCTCTACCATTAGACCACGGAGGCGGTCCACTCCATGTATGAACTTTATGCGAACCCCACCTTGGTCTGATATTGAATGAAAGCGACAAAACCTTTTCCATAGCCACAAGAATTCTGATAAAAGCAGAGTCGAGTTGTACAATTCCGCCTATATCATGAGCATGTCTTTATAAATCATGATCAAATAGTGAAGATACCAGGTGTTCGCGAAAAGGTAAGCATTCCCAGTCCCACCGGTTGCACCCATCACAAACACATGCAAAGGCAAATAAATTATTAGCATGAAAAGAAGTAGATTGCCACAAGACTGTAGCGCAGGTTGAACGAGAAACAAAGGTTGGGGCTATGTAGTACAGCCATCGAGTAATCAGTAGTTCGAGTTTGGTGGTCCACGGGATCTGCATATTTTAAGATACATATTAACAAAACCTGTAATATTTATTGTAAAAGCTATCAGATGCGTTCATAGTAATGATAATTATACTATTAGATATAATATTCAATACAAGCATGTTTTGGACACTAAATATAGAGATAAACTTATGTGCCGAAAAAAGTGAATTTTTGTGAGTTTTGGGGAAGAGATTTCTATGATATTAGAATATGAACAAGTCTTTGCCCCAAAGTTTCTAAGGCGATGGAGATAAGAAGTTGCAAGTGCAATGCTGAAAAAGAAAGAGGGTTTTTTGTCAGCCATGTGGTATGTCTGATTCCTTTCTTTCAGGAGTATGAACCAAGAGAATCATTCACGGTCACTGCCAGTTCTCCGTCACTGAAATCAAGTGTTGCGGTCACTATCTTCATCGATGACAATGACAGTACGTACACGGTACAAAACTTGGGTGGGAATTGCATCTTAATGCTTCATCGTTACAGACGCCTGATACTGACTTTATATCATGAGCTCATGACACCATGCTGTGCTCAAATCGGCAAGGATTCCGTAGGCGGCTGCGTTGTCCAATGTGCCGCAATTCGCTGTGTAGAGTTACGTTACTTGCGTGGCAAAAACTTATGCTCGTGGATTCGATTCCAGATTCGCCCCTTTGGTTTTTGGTTTGTCAGCACCAAACGTGTGCTCATGGGTTGTATCACTTCAGATCGGATTGACAAGTCAAGAATTATAATATGGGCGTATGTGGACCTCGAACCTACTATCATGGGATCCTGTCATGCTTAGGGGCGCCACTGCTAAGCATCGCCTTAGATGACTGGAACACACACACACACACACACACACACACACACACACACACACACACAACCACACACAACCACACGCGCACACATACACAGACATACACAGACAAACAATTACACGCTGAATTAACTAAGTATACCGATGTTTTATCCGTACGATATTGCATATATTATGCCCACCTTATCCTCAGTTTACCGCTTTGCAAAACTTTCCGCCAATTCATCGCCCTTGGATAAACTGTTTGGTTTCTGGTTTCAGAGCCAGCGATTCAGACCACACCACTGACTGTAGCTGAAGGGGACGGCACGGCGACCTTGACCTTGACAAGACCTACCACGTGGGAAGCTCTGTCCATTAACTACTCGACCACAGGTGGATCTGCGGAAACTGACACTGACTTCACGTCGGGGTCGGGGACAATAACCTTTGCAGTTGGCGAGGGAGAGAAAACCATTTCGGTTGATATCGTGAACGATCAGGTGAGTCGTATTTTACTATCATCTCCTACAAACCGAAATAACATGCACGACTAACCGATTCTATCCAAAAGGGGACACTTGACTGTTCACTGGTAGCCTAAGTCCGTATGCTTTTTTTTAAGGTATACGAACCCCAGGAAAACTTCACCATAGCTATAACTTCATCGGCGCAGCTGCGAGAAGATCCATCAACGACCATCACTATTGTCGATGACGATGGTAAGAACCGCTACCATGTTTGCATTGTGAGCATTTGATCCAAGCAGGTAAAACCACCATTCAACAAGTGGTCTCCAGATAACCCTACCATGAAGCATAAGAGCTTAGATAGTTTGAAATCCATGACGTAATTTCATAGTAATCTGAGTATCAATTTCTCTTGCGGTTTAAGCCTAAGCGTTACGAAGGTCTTCAGCAACCCATGCCTGCCGTAAAAGGCGACTATGCTTGTCGTAAGAGGCGACTAACGGGATCGGGTGGTCAGGCTCGCTGACTTGGTTGATGCATGTCATCATATCTCAATTGCGTGGATCGATGCTCATGCTGTCAATCACTGGATCATCTGGTCCAGACTCAATTATTATTTACAGACCGCCGTCATATTAGCTGGACTGTTGCACAAACCAACAAAACATATTTGACTATAAAACGGTTTCTCTTTTACGTATGTTAATTCCCAATAATTCCCACTTCGCGTTGTGATAAGGATTCACTGCCATGATAAACATCGTCATTGTCACCTATCATAGACAGTAACGTACCAAAGCCAATGTCGTAAAATGAGAAATCAGTTTACAACCTCTTTGACTGAAGAATTTACTCAGTTATCGATGTGTTTTCATTAAAAAGACGAGACTGTAACGCTGACGTCGTTCCCTGCATCGTATGAGTCCACCAGTCTGGAGGTCACGTTACAACGGACGCTGGCTGTTGATGCACTAACGGTCCATGTGACTACCACGGATGAGACGACGGCTGCTGCTGATTTCACGCACCTGTCCAATTATGACGTCACTTTCCCCATCGGTTCCCTCACTGCCACCTTTAACATTGACATCACAGATGATGCAGTGAGTACGGGATTCTTGTATCTGGTTGGAACCAGTATTCACATACTGCAGAGTCCTGCTACTGAAGTAGTAGTGAACTACACCATGGCCCACTTGCACAAAGCGATTTTAGCGCTAAGATGATCGTAACACCCATACTTTAACATAGGCTTACTATAGTCTTAGCGCTAAGATCGCTTTGTGCAACGGGGCCCAGGACTCTTAGACAAAAACAACGGCACCACATGGCCCCGCTTCGAAACGATATCTTAGCATTACGACTGTCATGCGTCTGTGTTAAGGGACTTACGACAGTCGCAGGGCTATGATCGCTTTGTGAAACCGGTCACGAATTGTGTCACTAGTGTCCATCAAATCCCCAAATATGACGGGCCAGTGAGAGCTGTATTCGGGGATGTACTTGTTATCAACGTGACGTATGTTTAAGTGAGGGAGTTAGCGCCGCTTTGAACAGTATTCCAGTTATATCACGGCGTGTCAGCTTAAGTCAGTCCTAAGTGCTGCAGGTGTCAGACATTTTCCCACTTCGGTGAGGTGCTGACAAACCTAGAAATATTATCGGGGCGAACCGGGATTCGAATTGCGTGCACGGTGAATTGCGGTGCCTTAGACGACTGGGCCACCCTATATGTATGTTTTAAGCATATGGTTGATGATGATTATCATGTTCGGAGTATTGTATCGTATGTGTTGTACAAGGGGGTAGATTAAATTCGTTCCACTTGGATGTTGAGGTGTGTATGAAAGATTACACATTTCTATTTTAAAAGCCAGGGTCCAAGTTCTTAGTTTTCAGTGAACCTACGGTTGAGTATACGAGTGTACAATGTTAGTCAAGGAAATTCTTTGAAAACCTGGCTGAAAAAAGGCTTTGGGTTTAAATACGTTTTTAAAACCATTTTTTCGCGGACACTGGATTATCACTATTTGAAAGTGATTAATAATGGTCATGGTATGGTCGGAATCGTATAGTGGACTCTGCTTTTAGCAGAGATTTCTGGTGAATATGGAAAAGGTTTGTCACTTTTGTTTATTTGTTTTATGATAAACACTGTCGCCTGAAAAAGCATACTGAGATTATAGTTTTCATTATCTATATGATGTTTTCAAGACGCCAGTGGCCAAGAGGTTTGAGTATACACATTTCTGCCTGGTAGATATTCTTATCATCTCCAGTGTGATGAAATATAAACAATAACTATGCAAATCCCCTTGTTACATTCCAGGACATTGAAGGTGATGAGGTCTTCACACTGGACATAGCTGGACCAAACGTTGCACCCTTTGCCCCGGTAAACGCCACGATAGTCGACAATGATAGTGAGTATTTAGCAGGATCGCCTGTTCGTTGTATCAATAAATCGACGTAAACAAGGCGTATTGAGACACAAACGATTATTTCACAGATAAACGTTCATTATTTGCAGGAATAAAACTACAAAATCAGGACAACCACTTTACTGTACAAACATAATAAATGAGCCCATTGATATGTACGGTATTGATTGATAGCAACATGTAAACACAGTTAAACGATTTTTGCGATGTCTAAACGCTGTCCTTAGAAGCAAATTATTCTTTATCTAAATGCGTGGTTCTTTTCAAGTGAACTGTTCCTTCTTACGATACACTACAATACATTATCTCTTGCGTCTCCATCCAGGAGACAACTTGTTTGTAGTGTTCTGTTTTAGATTTTTGACATCAATGCGCATAAAAGGTTTGTCAGTTTGTTTTGGAATCATAACGAAATTGTTTTGTGGGATTTGAAAGTATGAGTGATTAGGATAAAATGTCTTTTGCGTCAAATTAACGTCCTTTGTATTATCAAAGCTGGTGACACAGACCAAAGGTTGATATGCGCCAACATTTACAACTTCGTGGACGATTAAACACAATCTGGAAGATCACGCATGGTTACCACCCGATGTTCATGAGTCAGCTGTAACAGGCATTGGACACTCGGGGACTTTACTTCCCCCAAATCCTCACAGGGGTTTATAGGGTGTCATCATTGCTGTTTGTTGATAATGCATAATTATTCATATCAAATTCAACAATTAAGCGTTTTTGTCTTCATCGAGATGAGTCACTTAATGAACATCATGTTTGAATTACAGAAAGTAGGTCTTTTGACTGCCGCCGGAAGGGTAGCGCGTGCAATAGTTCAGACGAGGTATGCCGCCCTACACTGCCAATCTGTGAATGTGTCGGGCAGCCGGCAAGGGAGGGCGATGAGTGCAACATTGTCACAGGTTTGTTTGTTTGTTTGTTGTTTAATATTCCAGCTATATGACGGCGGCCTGTATATAATTTAGTCTGGACAAGTCCAATCCAGTGATTGACATCATAAGCATCGATCCACGTTATTTGGATATGATGTATCAAGCAAGTCAGCGAGCCTGACCACCCGATCCCGTTAGTCGCCTCTTACGACAAGCATAGTCGCCTTTTACGGCAAGTATTGGTTGCTGAAGACAAATTCTGACCAGGATCTTCACGGGTGTTGTCACAGGTCCAACACCTTGGCTGTCTGGAGAATATCCAGGATAGGCCATGTAGTCAACACATACGTAGAAACCCTGCAGTGTGGACTTTTCACGATGGCTGTAACACTTGATATACATGTACAACGTTCAGCAATCGTTTGCTTTTAAGTTTCAACAAAATCAGCAAATGGCGATCGTATCACTAGATGTTCTGGTCCATCACACGAGAGTACACGTTTGTATACAGGCCGCCGTCTCAACGCAGGAGTACATTGCGGAATGAGGCAACAAACAAATACTCACTTTTCACTGATTCACTGTGATCCATTCAATAATGCCTTTTACACCCAATGGAATCTGTATCGTCGAAGAATCGAGACTTGTTATTCTCTGGCATTGACGTTATATATTTAAATAATAATAATAATAATAATAATAATTATAAATAACGATTTTAGATTGAGTGTCCGTTTTATTAACGACAGAACGCTAACATAACGAGTTTTGATTTGTTCAGAGAAAATAAGTGGTTAAAGTCCGCAGCACTATACATGTATGTGTTGACAAGTATTCAGATAATACATACTTTGTTTTTTTCCATATTAACCATTGTCATAAGAAACCCAATACAATAGAATGTGTGAAATATTGCACCTTATATGACATTTAATGATCATGAAGTGATATATGGTCCTTGTGAATAAGTAAATTTATCATATAATGGGTAGGTTTCTCGGCAGGATAAAGCCAACGGATAAAAACGATATCCGTTGGGGTCATATGCGGATAGAGATGCAAATATCAAAGGTCAAGTAGGACTACTTTCACTGTTTATAAACAAACATGGCGTCGCCCTCGTCATTCGGCGATCGAGTCAGAATTAACCATCGTGAATCTGGATAAACTACAGGGATAATTGCTATCATTATCAAAAGAACAGTCTAATATACTGAAAATCAGTGTCTAACTGTGACGTAGCTAAGGCATTTTATAAGTTTTGGCAACTTTGGAGATATAAATTTCGAAACAGCTTTGCGAGGGCACGATCGAGGCCTAGCCAAGCAGGATCAGTAGCTATATCTGTGCTTGTAGACCTCTGCAGCTTGAAACCTTCTCCACAAATTAAAATAGTTGGATTTGGCCGAAATATGTTTGAATTGTTACCTTGTTTCGTTTTGTCGCTGTGTGTACATCTGACTACACTTCTAAACGTCATGACAGGACAAACCGACTGTCAACAACGTCTGACCGTGGCCGTGACGTCTTATAGACTAGGGTTAGAGTAGCTTCCCTTTGACAAAGGGTAGTTACTCTAGCGGACAGACCGATGGATTACCGCGAAGGCAATTAAAAACAACTGTTGTTTTGCGTATATGTTGCTTCGCCACTGTATAAGAAACAGATTTCAGTTGGAACTATATTGGCTACTGTCACTGTCCGACTGACACATCACTGACCCTGTGACGTAAAAAATATTAATGCGCGCATTCCAGGAAAACTCGCAATGTTTCGGTAATGTTTGTGAGAGAGGGAAAGCGATTTTAAAGCACAGAATTAAAAGAATGACAGTATATGATAAAGAGGTTATCAGGCTTGTGTGTTTGGGGATGGTAAATATCCTGTATTAGGAATAAACACTATGTATTTAGCTCGCCAAGGCTCGCTAAATACAATGTTTATTCCTAATGCAGGATATTTACCATCCCCAAACACACTCGCATGATAACCTCTATTTATATGTGTGGCGACAATGACAGGTTGACGTCCTTTCATATACTCAGCAATGTTGCTTCAATGTGAATAGCTCAAGTAAGTATATCGAAAACATTATACTCGATCTCACATGCATTTTGAAATGTTCAGTGTGTAAAATATTCACTTAGAATGGAAGACTGACAGTGCTTGCCGTCAGAACAGCTGTAACAGCAATGGAGAATGTCAGGAGAATGGCGGTTTAACCTCATGTGCTTGTTTTCCTGGTTACTATGGAGACAACTGCGAACACACCTACTGTAAGTATAGTTTTATATGCCACGAGGAGAATACATTGGAAGGGTGTATATACTTTATGTATTTATAGTCACGGTGTAAACTGAAGGGCAAAAAAGCACACCGAAATTGTTTGAAATGATGTAAATGTGTGCCGAAAACAGAAAATATATATAAATTTTCAATGTTAAAATGTCTAAGATGTCCATCAGCAAAATGTGCACTGTGCGATTTCTTTTAATATGATTGAGGTAGCGTTACAAGTGTCAAATTCCTCGACAAACAAACAAACAAACAAACTTGAGAATGTAAATTTACAAATCAGAAAATCTGAATTACGTACTTGCTGTTCGTTGTGTTAGAACTGTCATATTTCTATATTTCGTGAATATGCTATTTCTGAAGTAGCTATTGCCTCTTAATGCTAAATGGCATTTTAACCAGTGAAAGCTGAATGTACGAAGGACAGCATGGTGTTCTATGCAAAGCCACACGGAGACTTTCAAGGGGCAATATATGTCATGGATAAGATGGACGAAAGTGATTGTGTGGCAGCCAGGGTTCCCGACCCACCACAACCGGGAGACGACATCGACGATGATCTCAAGGGTTTCTTTGTAAACGTAACCCATTCAAGTGCTGCGTGTGGAGTGATCTCGCCCCAGGAAGGGGTAAGACGTTTTCGTATCAAATAAAACCTTGGGGATAGTGCAGGTATATAATGAGGACTTGTAAAGTCTGTTGCAACAGAAATCGGGGTACGATGCCAGACAAAGACAAACTTGACAAAGCTGAATGTGGGGAAGCCTAGTAGTTAAAGTGTTCGCTCGTCTCGCCGAAGGCCTTGGTTCGATTCTCCAATTTGGTACACTAGGTGCCGCCCCTTTCTGGTGTTCCCAACCGTAACATAAAGGTTGCGCTACATTCACTGACTACATTCACCCGATTCTAATACATTTCCTCAACTAATAGTGTAGTCATGATGATTCATAGTGGAGTATCCCACCACAGTACCCTGACACGTCATGATCCTCCCGAAATACTGTTAAAAACGGCGTTAAACCAAACTCACTTTTTCAGTGATAGTGGACCCGTGAAGAGCCGGGATAGAATAGCTCTTCAGAATCCCATGCTTGTCGTACGAGGCGACTTACAGGATCGGATGGTCAGGCTCGCTGACATGGTTGATGCATGTCATCGTATACCAATAGCGTTGATTGATGCTCATGATATAAATCGCTGGATTGTCTGGTCCAGACTCGATTATTAACAGACCGCCCTCATATAGCTGGAATATTACTGAGTGCGGCATTAAACAACAAACAATAACAAACAGTCATAGTAGAGTTTGAATTAAGTGTTTGTTATTTGACATGGTGATTATCAAACAGTGTAGTAGTAGTATATATAAATCGCCAACGCCATTGAACGATCGGTCTCGAGTATCCATTGGGCGTAAAAAGCAGAATAGTACACGAATCCAATGCTACACAACGCTATACATTTAGTATAATATGTGATGTGTTTGGTTGCAGAGTGCTGATATCCGATACACGCGAGAGTTTATGATCCAGTACAACACGGCAATCAACACCGGGCTGGACCAAGTGGTCACTGTCATATGCAGGTTTAACAAGAACAACCTCCTGGTCAGTGTTGAGGCGGTGACCATTAACTCGAATCTGTAAGTTCAATTGATCTCTTCGTTTATCAATGTATATTTCTAGAATGCTATCTTTGTCTATAAGTAAGTGTATGTCCCAAGTTCCACAAATCCACACGATCACTGTGCAATGGTTTTGTCCGCTCTAAACAATGAAACCCCAAGCAACCCCCGTAAGAATTCATCTCCAACAACATCATTCGTCACCACTCGCCCCTTTCCGTAACCTACAAGAAGCTTTGACCCCCTAGCGATGAACGTTATATGCGAAATTACGACAAACCAATCAGAATGCGCGTATGACTTTAAGTACTTCGGTTAAAGAATCCATGAGGAATCATTTTTTATTTTACAAATGTCTTGCTTCTAAAAATATACCCGAGATACAGTAAAATGTGTTCAATCATGCTGTATAATACCATAAGTCCTGATGTGTTTAAATAGCATCTGGAATATGTATGATATATGGGGGAAAATATACTTGAATCATTACGCAACGAGTTGACAATTCTTTCAGCTATGCCTGTTTGCGCTTAGACGGAACCCAGTCGTAAGAATGGCCACGAGAGGGGCACGAGTCGCTATACGGCTTGTCCCGGAATACCACGAGCTGGTTACCAATGTAGCAACATATGCAATAGCTGCCTGAATGGATGGGGTGGTCAGGTTCTGTGACTTGTTCGTATGTCATCGTATCCTGCCGCTATGGACCGATGTTCATCATCAATTACTGGATTCTGGTCCAAACTCGACTATCTATTTCATGTAACTTGAATATCGAGTGCTCGGTAAACAGCAAATACACAAGACAACAATTATATGATCTATCGGTGTATGCTCCGTCTGTATTTGCTTTAACTATTGCTTATTGAGTACACCGTCATCAATGTCCTCACAGGGACCCGTTCACCAAGGTAAATGCGACCAACACGTTCTCCCCAGTGTCACTGGCTGCCGACATAGATGGATCACCGGTGGTATCAACGTCCCCGATCCGTCTGTCCAAAAAGGTCTGCGTCACACTCGATGTTCCACCAGGTACAAGTGCTTTCACAATACACATTTATTGATAGTACAGTAAACTACGTTTATAACGAACACGCTTATAACGAACTGACGGATACAACGAACTTATTTTTTAGTCCCGGCCATTTAATGTATTTATGCTGTATATATGCTTATAACAAACTACGTTTATTACGAACTGAAATTAGTGGTCCCTTTGAGTTCGTTATAACCGTAGTTTATTTTTCCACGTCGCCCTAAAGCTTAACCACAACCAACCACGTTGGCGAAGAGTAACGCAAGCATACGTTTACCAACTCCGTGAAACCCAAGCGTTGTCAAACCAAGAATCATAATACAGGCTACTCGGAATGCCATGCTTAGTTTACAAAACCCGAGTAAGCATTCTGGTATACATTCGCTCGAAAACGATATCTATGCATGTATTCTTGAATGTTGTCTTAGCTAGTACGTGACGATTAAATCTAAAACCTGTGTTACAGAGTTTGGTGGTCTGGAGATTCTGGACATTACGTTCAACAACTCTCTTCCCGCTACGCCCATGTCATGGCCGGTGTACACGCAGGGGTGTGTATTTGCATAGGAATGTATAATATGATTCTAACCCTTCTAGAGAATATTAATTTCGTTGACGCAACTTACGTTTCTCACTCATGATGGCAATGCATGTGAATGGATGTTCACTTAGAGTTTTTGATAGTGATTCATAAGCACATGCTAATGATATAGTCAGGATCGTACAACCGATTCTTCTTTTGACAGAGATATTGAAATTTTTTTTCGCTTTATTTACTATACTCAGTCTCATTTCCAAAATTTGTTTTTACCCAGCGTGTATTGAATATTTGGCGTTTATTAGAGGAAGTACGGGTGTAGATTTCGAGCTACCTTTAATAAGAAAAAAACATACATGTCCTGTTTTAAATAAATCAGGACCATATTCACAATAAGCAAAGGGCACGTCTCTACAAGGTCAAATGAAATTTGAAAATATTAATGTTACTGTTAACGTTACAGTGTAATTTATTTAAAACATTGTGTAAGATGAAAGAGAATAATACCAAGTAATTGTCCAGGAGTATCAACCTAGACAAGACAGATACTGGTTGTTATTGAACTGCCATTCAGCTTCTCATTGAAAGCAATAAGTTACAATAATTGATTATTTATTACAGTTGCCAAGCTAGTGACTCTATCGCTGTGCTGGTCAATTTGCCCTTCTACCCGCAAACCAACAAGCGCATCATCAGGTTCTGCTTCTGGGCCTTCAAGTTTGTCAACAGTTTCCGTCTGACCGTGGAAGTCAACCTGCGAGTGTGTGTCAACGCTGGAGATTGTGACGTGGTAAAACCCGACAATAGTTCTTTACTGGCAATAGTGAGAAAATATGATTCAGTTTTCTTCGGGCCCCCTTTCTGTTGAGGTATGACCAATATGACTTAACAAATAAAGGGACAAAACCCTTTCCATATCCAATAGAAATTTCTGCATAAAGCAGAGTCGATGGTACGATTCCGACTATATCACGATCATGTGTTTATGAATCACTATCAAATAATGGTGATACCAGGTGTACGCGAAAAGGTGTGCGTATCTTGTCCCATCGGATTCACCCGTCACAAACACATGCAAAGGCAAGTCATCATTACCCCGAAAAACACGGGGACATATGATACAAGTCAAAATTGTGAATTGTATGCGACATCATTTTTGTCACTCATGCGTCAAATTTGGAAATGTCCTCCACATGTCAACCATAACACATTTTGAAAGCTTTATTGAACCCTTGAATGTTGTAACCTTGATCAAACAACTCCTGAGCAATGCAAGTGTCGTATAGCTCTTTGAAATCTTGGTAGAAAGAGGATGCTCGATTGTATCATGCTCGTGTATCAAATACGCGTTCTTACGGTTTTGTCCTCAGCGCAAGTGCACCAGTCGACGCAAACGTCAGTCATCTAACGAGGAGACCACTGTTCAGTCAACGTTCAATATCTACATCCCAGAAACCAACGCCTCTAGCGGTCAGACAAATGAATCAAGTAAGCGAAGACTAGTAGTACAAAAAGTAGCAATTCCGCACTCCTTCATCAATACCGTGTACGGTATACGCTTTTAAAATATTGAAGTACCTTTGTCCAGAGCAGCCAGGAACACAAATTGTACTAAAAGGCAAAAGAGATTGTGATTATATCCATTTATTGATAAGTGGACTGTGGCTCAAAAGATCGATGTAGCTTCCACCTGGCTACACAACTAACCACTTTTCAAGACCGACCAGGCTAGATTGGTATTAATGCGTATTGGCATCAAGAAGGTAACACCTCAAACTTCGGAATCAAGAGTACTTGTATCGTCCTTGTAGTGTCTTCTTTTCTTAACTTACAGCGCTTGTTTCAGGCACCACGGTTTCCCAAGTCAGTGAAAGCAGTTCGTGTAGATTGCCGTTTGAATTCCTCCCCACCGTTCTCTGTCTGGGAGGTCTTGTGGTGGCGCTTGTGGCACTCTGCGTGTTCCTCACATTCAGGCTTCTGCACAAACCAAAGATGCGATGAAACACTTCCAGATCCAATCCACAACACCCATGTGCCGCATCACAAAGAGGGACCTAGGCCCTGTGCCCTTTTCCAGTCTCGACTTGATACCTTGAAGTAATACCAAGCCAAAGCAATATTTATATATTTTTTATTAACGAATTCCACCAACCGGAGCCGAAATCCACAATAAAAAAAATGAAGAAGTTTCAATTTATTTTCCCACCCGCTCTTTGACATGTTTGATTGATTGGAAACATTAAAATAGTTACACAAAACTATATAAATATATTACGTCAACGGCAGAGAACAATCAGTCTCGACCATCTTCTGCACCGTAACATATTCCATTTGGAGATAAGGCAAAATAGTGTCGACAATTATATTTACTATTTACTGTTCATGTAATAGTTGGCCAAATGCATCGTAATGTAGTCTACGGCCATGTTAGGAATTGATCGAAGCCTTCTAAACTAGTTACTGAAAAATACAAAACACCCTTCCATTAAATCAATGTAAGCATTTTTAACTACTAACTCGCCGACCAAAAAGACTATTTTCGTAAATACATATCATATTGAACTAGAATTGTAATGTATTTCTATTTCGAATCCATGGCAACTAACTGATACCTTATTGTGTTATGTACGTCACTTTAATTTGAGGAGCACGATTAATTATTTCTAGTAGTAATCTTTTGTATTTAGTTTAATCCTTTTGTATGATGGCGATGTGATCCACACACACTATCCCTAGGCCATTTATATAAATACAATCCCGACACAGTCAGACGTCATAATGAACCATATGCACGTAGTTAGTTCATTCTTTTTACAATTTCGTTACAATGGATGGTGTATAGTTATCTTTTGTGGTATTTATTTGACACTTCAGGGGCATGTGGGAATTGAATTTTGGACAACTATATCACCACATGTGCTTTTCTAAAGGAACATACATTTGGATGGTATTGGGTGGCAGTGGGGGTCTGAACCAACTTTTCAATAAGAAAACCTCTTCAAACCCCCACCCCCCAAGACATGAAATGGATGCTCCCTAACCTATACTGTATGGTTGGTACTGTGCGTGGGCTATCATAAATGAGATTACACCACTCACGTTTTACATTTGGGTACCTGCGTTTGATATACATCGCATGAGTATATTCTTTTAACGACATGTGTGAAAATAGGTCTGAATATGTGTGTTATTAGGGTAATACTTGTCATGGTTTTAAATAGCTATTTTCAAACATGGCTAGGACTCCCTTTAATGTACAATATATATCAGATCTGGCAAGACTAAGTGGATGAGCGCTGAGCATGTGCCAATAATTGCAATTATGCACTGCTTCATTGTCACATATGTGATATGCTATTTGCATGCTAACAACACTTCTCATTCCCATCGAATGTCATCGTTTAATGGTTACTGTCATTAATGCCATCCCGTATGTACATAAAATCCATCAAAGAAGGAAGGTTGCATTGGGAAACAGCGTGCCTTTCGAGCAAATTAGTAAATACATCTTCTAATATCTTGATAATCATATTGATTATGTATTATAGTCAGATGACATAGCTTTTGACAAGGTCAAATCAAAGCTTTCAAAACGTTTATTATGTTAGACATGTGTAGTTCCCGTGTATCTCTTTCAGGTGAATAATTAACTGGCTTGCGTTTGTGACAAGTGACACCGGTGGGGCTGGTTACGGCAGACATTTCGCGAACACCTGGTGTCATCACTCTCTGATAGTGATTCATAAACGATTACTTTTGATGTAGTCGGAGTCGTACAATGGATTTTTATTGCTTTTATCTAGAGGGTATACATATCAGGGTACAAAGTTCATATAATATTCATTGACTTGTCATAATTTACGAAAAGGAAAATAAGAGTGACCGTGTCGTATTACTGTCGTACGTACTTAGACAAACCGGTGATATTCCTGATTAAATATTAGTATATTCATACTAAATGATTGGTGTGAAATATATCTTTTCCATATAACATACCGAATACTTTTAAATGCATGTTACGGCTTCAGGAATGGAATCAAATAGTTCAGGAGTACTTGTCAAGGGGGTGAGGGGGTATTACTGGAAGATTACGTTAATATATGATAGAAAGGAGCTAGTGTTTTACATGACGCATCCCAGAGACAATATTACATGTATGCAATTTGCGAAATGTTCTGTCTACTGAATCATGGCCACAATTTTCTCTAAGGAAAAGTTGAGTTAAATATTGAGCTGTATAGTTTTATCTTATGTTTGTGTTCTTCCAAATATGTTATGATGTTACCTGTATAGTGTTGTGGTGAAGATACATTTGTTGATAACATACACTGTCCTGAAAATGAAGGTACATTCTTCATGTACAAAACCCTTAAACGGTCACCATTCATTTGATAGGTAGTATCTTGTTTGTTCAGGTTAAAGAGCACTTGCAGAATATCTCCTTTGTGTGAACTAATGCCTCAAATAATGTTTTCAAACTTTTAAAATCACGTAAATCGAAGATTTAAGTTGGCTTATTCGTGTCACGTTGTCCGTCGTCCATCCGTTCTTCTTCAGTTTACATTTTCTTCTCCACTGAAACCAATTTTGTTTGTTTGTTTGTTGTTTACGCGGCCGCAATGTTTTTTAGATAGACCCTAAGATGTTTTCTGTTGTGTTGCAGCACGTCGCTTGTTATGAACCGTTCACGCATGTATGCGTGCTATTCTTAATAAACTGTTTCCTTCTCCATCAATGTTTTGTGATTCCTACATCGCATAACATTCACAATACCAGTCAAGAACATGGTGTACGCTTGTTTGATGAACACTCCGCACGGAGCCTTTAAACTAATCATGTATATAGGGACGATAAGTAATCAGTATCCCATACTTATCGCATGAGATCCTTAAAGATCCTGGGTAGAATAGGTCTTCGGCAACCCATGCTTACCCTAAAAGGCGACTCTGCATGTCGTAAGAGGCGACTCACGGGATCGGGAAGTCAGGTTCGCTGCTTTGGTTGATGCAGGTCATCGTATCCCAATTGCGTAGATTGATGCCATGATGTCAATCACTGGATTGTTTGGTCCAGACACGATTGTTTACAGACCGCCGTCATATAGCTGGAATATCGTTAAATGCGGCGTTAACAAACAAACAAAAACAAACAAACTTATCGCAAGAACAGACTTCCCAAGGGAAACTGAGGTTGAATAGGTCACCAGTAACCTATGCTTGTCGCTCGAGGCGACTAAAATGCATCTGGTGATCTGGCTCGGTGCATTGGTTTATTTCGTGTCTTTGTACTCCGATGGCGTTGGTCTTTGCTCATAATATTGCTATTAATTACCAACAGGCCAACATAAAATAGCTGAAATATTGTTGATTTTGGCGTTTAATAACATTCGCTCCAAAATGGGGATCTGGTGGCTGACTGACGCGCATTACTAAACTAGTCCCCGCTAATGCAACAAATGTTTCTTACAGCGAAAGTATTTCAATACGTATCTAATGAGCGAAAGTTTTCATTGTTGGCCAAATGAATGATGGTGTATAACAGCGGTGTAAAAATAACATCCAGCTTGTCAGTGTTGAATGTGGCCGAGACAAGGTGTTCCCCTAAACCTCTAAGGCCAGTCACTTAAGTACACATTACTGTCGTCGTATATTTTCAACTTATTGTAGTCATTATCTGATGATCAGCCTACCTTCCTATACACTCTCCTATAGAAATAGTTCATGTAGTTCGCTGTTGTTTCTCATACAAAAAAGTCTAGTGATGATGATTATTTGTCCCTTCACTATAAATTATATCGATTCTTGCAAAGATGAGGAGCACAAACTGCCATTCACATGGTCACATATCTTTCAAATGGCACATAGAAATATATGACATCAACGCCAGAGAATAACGACTTTCCCCCGAGACAGATTCCACTGGTCGTAAAAGGTAGGTAAACTAGTGCTGACAAAAGGAACTGTATCGAAAGGAAACAACAATGTGACGAGATGGGGAGAGACGAACGGGGTTGACAGGCATAGTTAGTTTGTTTGTTAACAATTATGCTTTACAGTAAATATAAACTTATCACTACTCGATTCTCGGATAACGACTAACGCCCTTGTTGCTTCTCCTGGAGATGAAAACAAATGTCATATATTACGGATGCTAAAGGATATTACTGTAAGTTATGGTTACCATGTCCTAAAAAATAAAATCAGTATGACACACATGCGAGTGTTATAATTTCTTTTATTACCCATTATTTCTTCATCCTTTTTAGCTCCCCTTCAGAAACATGCACTGATCACGACCAACTTAGAAAATCATATTTGTCGAACGACGTCAACAATGTTCAGTTATGACGTCGTTTCTAGTGTGACGTCATTCCGACATGACGTAACAACAGGATTCGAATGGCGTCAACAATGCCGTCGGGATGACGCATACAATACAAAGGTGCGCGTGAAGTGATATTTGCACTTGTGAACGATTTTTATTAACTCGGTTATTTCTAAAACCCAATGGATAATAAGGATTCCTATCCCACATGTGTGAATTTATATTGGAAACAGTATATAGAATGCTGCCAACGAAATGAATAGTATTATCATCACCATAGGATAAATACGCACAATTTATATATAATTAAGTCACACATTTCAATCCGACCACTATATCTCAAACTCAGCACCATACCTCGGTGTGAAATATGCATGACAGAGAATAGCGGCATTAGATAATGCGTCTCGGACGTGACTCACAAAGCTGTCGTTAGTCGATGTTTAAAGATATAGCCCTAGGCTCTTTTAGTTGAACAGGATTCTAGATAACTGCACTAATTGCCACCCTGTACTTTTTACGTCCAGAGCACCAGTCCTATTTTAATCTTTTCATATGTGTTTAATATTCTAAGAACATTTATTTAGACATCTACACATTCACGTGTGACATTTGAAGCACGTGTATGTGCCAACTTCAGACTATTTTCCCAGCCAGAACTAATGTCGAAATTGTCTATCAAGTAAAACATCGATGAGTCCTTACAACAGATACGTGTTCAACATGACGGTGTATTATATAGATTGAGTTAACACTGGTTTACTTTTTTTTATGTTCACGCTTTCCAAATACGCTGACTCGTACTCATAATAGTCAAGAGCTATTTACCTTTCTGAGAAACGCATTATCAAATACGTAAGAAAGAACATTAACGATGCGTTTTTCGAAAGTAACGAGTTTGTTTTCATCCGTCATTTAACTTTCGCTTTACAAAATGGCGGAGAAAGGAAAGTAGACACAAGAAAGTGAACTTTCCAATACGACCATTGATTGAACGCCGAGAATAGCAAAAGGCAAGCAAATGCTCTATTTTTTCAAAGCGGTACATGATCACCACTGACACGACGCATATTTACACAACAATTGATCGGCTGACACTATAGGCTACGCCTTGAATTGTAGTTACCATGGTAATGATACAAATGGTGGATTGAGACCAATAACTGCATCTTCTCGACCATCTTCTGAGGTTGTGTACTGTGTACACAGAAGTAAACGGCCTAGAAACACTCTGTCGTGCATGGAAATCAATCGTTCTCGTCGCACCCTATTCGTTCAAATATAACGTCATATAATAATTATAAAGTCGTTTCGTATCGGTATACTGGCAACCCGTGTAAATAGACGTTGTTGGTATGCACGTGTCTCGATGTGAGGCGTCTTTGCAAACACTAGCAAGGTGGGGAACTATTAGATGCCAAAGCACACCCGCCCGGTGAATATGGGAGCGTGGGATCTCTGTGTAATAATAACATGGCTTTTTATTAAAGGTGAGAGTTTCACTTTGGGTTACTTTCATGTTGTTTAATTTAGCATAATAGAGTTGCAGGGGATGTTTAGGATAGCATGTTTAGTATATTGATGTTTGAACATCACTTCAGTTGTACTTCATAATACAATACCGCCTCCGTGGTAGCGCGTCCTCCCGGAGAGCGGAAGGTCCGGGGTTCGATCCCCGGCCGCGTCATACCAAAAGACGTTAAAATATGGTACTTGTTGTCACCCTGTCTGGCGCACGACATTAACTCGGTTATTTACAGACCGCCATCATGTAGCTGGAATATTGCTGAGTGCGGGGATAAACAACAAACTTCATACTTAGTAATTGTTTGAGTATAAATAGTGAGAATGGTCCTTCGCCATTCCAGCAAAATCACGTAGGGAGACACCTGAAATTGGCTTGACAAGCTGTACCCATGTGGGGATTGGATGTTTGAACCACAAGGCTACCACACTGCCCCAGTATTGCCAGAGTGGGGATGGTGTAGCCTAGTGGTTAAGGCGTTTGCTACTCACGTCGAAGACCCGGTTTTAACACCCCACATGGGTACACATGTGTGAAGCCCATTTCTAGTGTTCCCTGTCGTGATATTGCTGGCATATTGATAAGTGCGGCGTAAAACAATACTCACTCACTAGTATGAATCGTACAGAGCTCAGCACCGACCCTTGTGGGGCACCAATTGGTAAACCGGTAGATTCGGTCTAACTGTTTCGAATAAAGGCAATATATATCTTTTTGTGTGTTTAATTCCAGATACGAAATGAGAAGATTGTGATAAAGGCCAATTTTGGACCACAGGATCTCCAACTTATAGAAATGTGCAAACTTTTTTGAAGTTGTTGATTCTGGAAGTTTTCAGAAAACATAATATTATTTGAACAGAAGGAAGCTGCGTTGTCTGAGGAGATGTAGTAGATAAAGGCGGTACAAACATATTTTGGGTCATTAACGTACTCATGGTTAGCTATTATCATGAACATGCCAGAAGTAAGATACCAAATCTTGCAGGTGTAAGAAAGAACCAAGGCCTGTTATCAACCATTTGATCATGTACCATTTTCATGCTACTATTACATCGATTTCATTCCCTTTTCCCGTTACAACCTTTTTGTGAACACCTGGTATTTGATAGTGAATCATAAACACATGCTTATGACATACTCGGAATCGTACAATGGACTCTGCTTTTAGCAGTGATTTCTTATGAATATGGAAAGGATTTTGTGGTTTTTAATTATAATTTGACTTTTAAGGTGGGCCAAAAGGGCCTTGTCCTTGATATATTTCGACCGCCTCCGTGGTCTAGTGGTAGAGCGTCCGCCCGGTGAGCGGAAGGTCCGGGGTTCGTTCCCCGGCCGCGTCATACCAAAAGACGTTAAAAGATGGTACTTGTTGTTACCCTGTCTGGCGCTCGGCATTAAGGGGCTAAACAAGGACTGGTCGGCTCGGAGTCAGTATACTGTGTCTGAGTGGGGTATTCATGTTAAACTGCGGCATGGTATCTCAGTGAGCTGGCACTATATATCGGCATCAGTCCGGACAAGTACAAGCAGCAACACACACAAACACGTGCACGTCGCTATATAAGTGCAATAATCTTGGCCGCGACGTTGAACCCCGTCTCACCTCACCTCATAATACAAAAATACAAAGTTATACAGCGCGGTTTGTTAATGAAATTGTTAGATGAAAGATAAAATGACACTCCTCACAAATTGTCATATATCTAGTTTCTAATGATTCATAGACGCAATTTGGTGTTTTTTGTTATAGGAAGTTTCATAATGCGAATCATCTGCATCGGCAAATTTGTCTTTAATCGATAACAATATTCATTATTTACTCTATGTGTATGAATTTGCGTTGCAGTGCCAATTATTTGTAAGTGTTGTACTCATCGACATCAAATAGTTTATGAGGGCAAGTAAACAAAGATCATTCTACCACTGTTTGTCTCGTAATGGTTACATGTACACTGTGTGTATCTGCTCATGCCGACACCTTAACTACAAGATAACAACAGTGAGGGTTCATTACATTTTTATACTTTACTTATAACAGGTTAAAACAATGTTCAGAAGATCACATTTTCTTGAACATGTTATTAGCACAATAACTAGCACACTACCTGTATAGTATGTCAGTCAACTGTAACTGAGCAGAACGACCAAACATTTGTTTGTGGTAGTTGCAGACGAATGAGATATGTAAAAACAAAATATGTGAGTTATATTGAATAATGCATTTACGTAAATAAAAGCGATCTGATTGTATCCTAAACTTCTATTAGTGTATCACTATGAATTAGTGATGATACCAGATGCTCGCGAAAAGGTAAGCGTATCCTGCTCAATCGGTTGCATCCGTCACAAACACATGCAAAGGCAACTCAAATATACACGTCAAAGGAGGGAGTTACATCTTGAAACGTACTTAATTGTTAAGAAATCCCGGAATAATAAAACACGTTATGTTGGAATGCGAGATATGTTCCTTTAAAGCCGTCATTGAAATATAAAACATCAACGCCAGAGATTAACCGCTCTCGGTTATCTGCCGAAACAGATTCCATTCGGCGCAAAAGGAAAAATAGCGGTATTAATTATATGGACCACTGAAAATCAAAGATGACGCCAGGTGCTCGCGAAAGTCATTGCAAAAATATTTTTTGTGACAATTTTGTGAGAAAGTGTTGTTTTCTTTCACATAGCGTTCTAGGTCTGTTCATTGCAAGTCTGGGAAAGACAGACAAATGGTTGACTTCATGACCACTGATTCGGAACTGGATCTTTAACAATGAAGTCTGCAATTCTATCTGTGACGATATTACGTCAAAAGCCGGAGAGTAAGTGTTGATTTAAACCGCAATCCAATAACATGACGATTTGTTATGGGCAACGATGGACGTCTTCGGGGTACCATGACATGTAGTGAGCCAGATCACACATTGACGCCTTCCAATCACAGGTACATGGGAACAAATTAAACATACCTATGTCTGCAGGGACCTATTCTACCCCGGAATCCCAACGGGTTACATCAAAGACCATCATTAGTTATGAACACTACTGGGAGTTCAGGAGTAATGAGTTGTTATCCTGGTATGTTGTAGAGATTTCATATTGACGTTGTCTAAAAACACGTTCAGGTATGCATTATTAACGACAACTATCGGTGTATGCATGTTAGAGGAATTTGAACTCAGCAAACACGTTATTTAATGTCGTAACACTGCCACGTATTATTTGAATATCGATCTTTCCCGTCCTTTCTTTGCCTTACGTTAAATTTAGAAACTTTAGAGTTTACTTTACAAGTCTCTATTATTGTAAGGTATTAAAATAATGTATCACGGGTTAGGTGTCAACATATTTTAAGACCGTCTTCGAATAATCTATTTACGCCTATCTGAAGGAGGCACCATGACCTCCATACCTATTTCTGTCGACAGCACATGTATAAAAGAATAATAATGACTTTTACCGAACAAATATACCAGGACTACAGCATTTACAAGGTCACTGAGTTCACAATACATCTCAGCGCCTTAAGTCACAGTGCATGACAGTTAAATCAAGCTTTAGCGATGCTCTAACTTAAAGCGTCATAACACTTTCCATGATCAGAAGATATTTATACCAAGAGCAGAGACGATTGTACGAATCTGACTATATCATGGGTATATGTTTATACATTACCATCAAATAGTGATCATACCAGGTGTTCGAGAAAACGTGAGAGTACCCTGCCCAAACTGTGACAAACACATGCAATGGCAAGTCAATTGTTCACCTATATAAACACGAAAACATAAGGTACAAGTCAAAATAGGGAATTGTCATCATTTTGTCATTGATGCGTGAAATATGAAAATGTCCTCAACATGTCTACCATAAAACGTTTTGAAACTTTTTCTGGGGTCTTGGATGCTATAACCTTGATCAATCAATTTCTGCACAGTTATATGACTTCGTAGAAAGAGCATGCTCGATTCCGCTGGAGCTGATGAATATTTACTGTAATAATATTAACTATAACGATGATGTTAGACATTTACAGATAAATTATATAATTACAGTTATTAACCATAACGATGATGTAAGACATTTACAGATCAGTGACAGTTATTAACTTCAACGATGATGTAAGACATTTACAGATCAGTTACAGTTATTAACTTCAACGATGATGTAAGACATTTACATATCAGTTACAGTTATAAACCATAACGATGATGAAAGACATTTACAGATAAGTTACAGTTAATAACTTTTACGATGATGTTAGACATTTACAGATCGGTGACAGTTATTAACCATAACGATGATGAAAGACATTTACAGATCGATGACAGTTATTAATTATAACGATGATGTAAGACATTTACAGATCAGTTACAGTTATTAAATATAACGATGATGTAAGACATTTACAGATCGGTGACAGTTATTAACTACAACGATGATGTCAGACATTTACAGATCAGTTACAGTTATTAACCATAACGATGATGAAAGACATTTACAGATCAGTGACAGTTATTAATTATAACGATGATGTAAGACATTTACAGATAAGTTATATAATTACAGTTATTAACTACAACGATGATGTAAGACATTTACAGATCAGTGACAGTTATTAACTATAACGATGATATAGGACATTTACAGATCAGTGACAGTTATTAATTATAACGATGATGTAAGACATTTAAAGATCAGTGACAGTTATTAAATATAACGATGATGTAAGACATTTACAGATCAGTGACAGTTATTAACTATAACGATGATGTAAGACAAAGATCAGTTCACAACTGGCACTTATAAAATGTATAGACAGGACATGGGTATCTTGTAGATGAGCACAGTCACTCTTCCTCGTACTATTACGTGTTACGTGATTAACTGGTCAAGACTTGATTGTTTACAGGTCCGCAGTCGTATGGCAGGAACACTGCTGTGCGGCGTTAGACAACAAACACACCTTTTTATACAAACTGTGTGTGTGGCGGACAGAGCAGGGCATGTTTACCTATCCGCGAACACCTGGTGTCATCACTGATTTTCAGTGGCCCATTCATATAATTTTCATTTCTAATTTCCTTTTTATTTGTTTGATGTTTAACACCCCACTCAACAATATTCCGGCTATATAACAGCCTGTGTTCGCCCTATGGAAACGACATATTCAGTGGTAAGTTGAGGTTGAAAATACTGTGTGTGTATCTATTTACAATCCATGGACAGATAAATTTTTGCGACATATCAAACAGTGATAGAAATGTGACTACTGAGTGCCGTGTTTCGTATTTTAGGGATCACAGGCCAAGACAGCGTTGTGGTTGAGCTGCTGTCACAGGTAACATGTTCCAACAAATCAGTCGAGACGGTGAACCAGGCGTGTCTGGACGTGTACAATATTCCAATACAAATACCGTCCCCTCCCACCCTTGCTGAAGCCACACCCGAAGATGCACTGCTGATCATCGAAAACTTCATAGTAGATGAGAGTGACACTTTGTGCAGGTATGAAAGTATATGCAATTTATGAAATTAATAAACAACAGGGATATATGCATATATCACGTTTTAGGCAATTATATAAAAATAAATATCTATATTTTTAAAGTAAAAATTGTGCAGTTTTATATAGAAATCATATTTCTCATTGTCTATACTTTTATCATGACAAGGTCTAAGGCTATTTTAATTTCAAAGCCTGGTTCATTACTATTTGGGCTAGGCCCTAGAGCTTAATGGATTAGTAGATTGGTGCTTGAGAAAGGTGCGAAATTAGATCTTGTTTCAAACAGTAATCAGGAAAATTACACGAAAGCTGTGGCCTGCCTCTACTATGTCAACAAGAAATGCAACAGTGTGTCTGCTCAAGACAACAGTATTTATCCAGCAGAAAGCGACTTTCAGCAACAGATGACACAGTCCTGTGATGCCATCGCAAGTGAGTATGCATCCGCAGCATGTCGGTCTCATTGTATTTGAACATAAGCTAGCTCCCCGTGCCACGCCTACATGTACGTCTTGATTTCTTGATGCAATCCTCTACATATTTCCTTGAATATATATTTTTTTAGGTACCAATGCAAGTGACAATGTTCCATTGTGTATCTGTCATAAATAATCATTTCTACATAATAATCTATCTCCACCGGCAACCTTTGACATTTTCTCGTCCTTCTTTAGGTGGTCTTTCTTCATTACACGCTACTCAAAAGAAGTTAGAGAACACTCGATTGTATCATATTACTATAGTTACTATTACAATGTCAGGATTGAATAACTTTTGTAATGCGAAATAATTGGGTGTTCCTTAACTTATTTTGAGTAGTATGGTATATAAGTATTCCTCTCTGCTGTTCTCTCAGCATATATGTATATACAGTGTATGTCCTCTAAACTGTGTCTACCAAGGTTCTCATCTCAACTGGACTTCTTCATCCTTCTTCGTCCTGCCCTGAGTCTGCTCCGAAATCTTCTTAACTGATCATATTAGTGAGTGAGTGAGTGAATATGGTTTTACACCGCTTTTAGCAATATTCCAGCAATATCACGGCGGGGGACACCAGAAATGAGCTTCAGATCATATTAGTGTAGTATCTCAAATTATTGTGCATCCTCTGTTTCTTATGGTATAGACGCCATCCTCTCAACTGGTCATCGTTGTCACGTTCCCCCAGCCGTTTCTGTATTGGCCTTCCCCTCAACTTGTTAACTTAAAGTATACCTTCTATCAGCTTGTTCTCTGAGTCTATATGCGTCCTTCTTTCAAATGGCCCTCTTAGTATATGTCCGTTCTCCTCTCAACTGGTCCTCTATCTATTGGCATATCTATATCTTCCTCCCAGCTGGTCCCCTCGTCCTCTTAGGCAATTTACGTCCTCTTCTCTACTCGTCCTCTTAGTCTATCTCAACTTATCCTCTTATTGTATCTATATATTCATCTAAGCTGGTTCTCCTAGTCTATATCCGTTCTTCTATTGCGTACATTGGCTACATCCTCCTCTCAGCTGGTCTTCTTAGTCTATCTACGTTTTCATCTCAACTCGTCCTCTCAATCTGTTTCGTTGTCCTCTCAACTGATCCTCTTTGTCTATCTACTCTCTCCTCACAACTCATCCTCTTTGTCTGTCTACACTCTACTCTCAATTGATCTCCGTGTCTGTCTACACTCTCCACACAACTCAATTATTGACATCCTCTTTGCCTGTCTACACTCTCCTCACAACTGATCCTCTGTCTGTCTACACACTCATCACAACTAGTCTTCTGTCTGTCTACAAACTCCTCTCAACTTTTCTTCTACCTGTCTACAAACTCCTCTCAACTGATCCTCTTTGTCTGTCTACACTCTCCTCACAACTGGTCCTCTGTCTGTCTACACTCTCCTCACAACCTATTCTCTTAGTCTGTCTACACTCTCCTCACAACTGGTCCTCTGTCTGTCTACACTCTCCTCACAACCTATTCTCTTTGTCTGTCTACACTCTCCTCACAACTGATCCTCTTTGACTGTGTACACTCTCTTCACAACTGATTCTCTTTGACTGTGTACACTCTCCTCACAACTGATCCTCTTTGACTGTGTACACTCTCTTCACAACTGATCCTCTTTGACTGTGTACACTCTCCTCACAACTGATCCTCTTTGCCTGTCTACACTCTCCTCACAACTGATCCTCTTTGACTGTGTACACTCTCCTCTCAACTGATCCTCCTTGCCTGTCTACACTCTCCTCACAACTGATCCTCTTTGACTGTGTACACTCTCCTCACAGCTGATCCTCTTTGACTGTGTACACTCTCCTCTCAACTGATCCTCTTTGACTGTCTACACTCTCCTCTCAACTGATCCTCTTTGACTGTCTACACACTCCTCAAAACTGACTCCATCTGTCTGTCTACACTCTCCTCTCAACCGATGGTCTTTGCCTGTCTACACTCTCCTCACAACTGATCCTCTTTGCCTGTCTACATTCTCCTCACAACTGGTCCTCTGCCTGTCTACGCTTCCCCCTCAACTTGTCCTCTGCCTGTCTACAAACTCCTCTCAACTTGTCCTCTGCCTGTCTACTCTCTCCTCTAAACTGGCGTCCTCTGTCTGTCTACACTCTCCTCACAACTGATCCTCTTTGCCTGTCTACACTCTCCTCACAACTGATCCTCTTTGACTGTGTACACTCTCCTCTCAACTGATCCTCCTTGCCTGTCTACACTCTCCTCACAACTGATCCTCTTTGTCTGTGTACACACTCCTCACAACTGGTCCTCCGTCTGTCTACTCTCCTCACAACTGATCCTCTTTGGCTGTGTACACTCTCCTCTCACCTGATCCTCTTTTACTGTGTACACTCTCCTCAAAACTGATCCTCTTTGCCTGTCTACACTCTCCTCACAACTGATCCTCTTTGGCTGTGTACACTCTCCTCTCACCTGATCCTCTTTGACTGTGTACACTCTCCTCACAACTGATCCTCTTTGGCTGTGTACACTCTCCTCTCACCTGATCCTCTTTGACTGTCTACACTCTCCACACAACTGATCCTCTGCCTGTCCACTCTCTCCTCACAACTGGTCCTCTGCCGGTCTACAAACTCCTCTCAACTTGTCCTCTGCCTTTCTACATTCTCCACTCAACTGATCCTCTTTGACTGTGTACACTCTCCTCTCAACTGATCCTCTTTGACTGTCTACACTCTCCTCTCAACTGATCCTCTTTGACTGTGTACACTCTCCTCACAACTGATCCTCTTTGACTGTGTACACTCTCCTCACAACTGATCCTCTTTGCCTGTCTACACTCTCTTCACAACTGATCCTCTTTGTCTGTGTACACTCTCCTCTCAACTGATCCTCTTTGACTGTCTACACTCTCCTCTCAACTGATCCTCTTTGACTGTGTACACTCTCCTCACAACTGATCCTCTTTGACTGTGTACACTCTCCTCAAAACTGATCCTCTTTGCCTGTCTACACTCTCCTCACAACTGATCCTCTTTGACTGTGTACACTCTCCTCTCAACTGATCCTCCTTGCCTGTCTACACTCTCCTCACAACTGATCCTCTTTGTCTGTGTACACACTCCTCACAACTGGTCCTCCGTCTGTCTACTCTCCTCACAACTGATCCTCTTTGGCTGTGTACACTCTCCTCTCACCTGATCCTCTTTTACTGTGTACACTCTCCTCAAAACTGATCCTCTTTGCCTGTCTACACTCTCCTCACAACTGATCCTCTTTGGCTGTCTACACTCTCCTCTCACCTGATCCTCTTTGACTGTGTACACTCTCCTCACAACTGATCCTCTTTGGCTGTGTACACTCTCCTCTCACCTGATCCTCTTTGACTGTCTACACTCTCCACACAACTGATCCTCTGCCTGTCCACTCTCTCCTCACAACTGGTCCTCTGCCGGTCTACAAACTCCTCTCAACTTGTCCTCTGCCTTTCTACATTCTCCACTCAACTGATCCTCTTTGACTGTGTACACTCTCCTCTCAACTGATCCTCTTTGACTGTCTACACTCTCCTCTCAACTGATCCTCTTTGACTGTGTACACTCTCCTCACAACTGATCCTCTTTGACTGTGTACACTCTCCTCACAACTGATCCTCTTTGCCTGTCTACACTCTCTTCACAACTGATCCTCTTTGTCTGTGTACACTCTCCTCTCAACTGATCCTCTTTGACTGTCTACACTCTCCTCTCAACTGATCCTCTTTGACTGTGTACACTCTCCTCACAACTGATCCTCTTTGACTGTGTACACTCTCCTCAAAACTGATCCTCTTTTCCTGTCTACACTCTCCTCACAACTGATCCTCTTTGGCTGTGTACACTCTCCTCTCACCTGATCCTCTTTGACTGTGTACACTCTCCTCAAAACTGATCCTCTTTCCCTGTCTACACTCTCCTCACAACTGATCCTCTGCCTGTCTACACTCTCCTCACAACTGGTCCTCTGCCTGTCTACAAACTCCTCTCAACTTGTCCTCTGCCTGTCTACTCTCTCCTCTCATCTGATCCTCTTTGTCTGTCTACACACTCCTCACAACTGACCCCATCTGTCTGTCTACACTCTCCTCTCAACTGATGTTCTTTATCTGTCTACAAACTCCTCTCAATTGGTCCTCTACCTGTCTACAAACTCCGCTCAACTGATCCTCTTTGACTGTGTACACTTCTCTCAACCGATCCTCTTTGTCTGTCTACACACTCCTCACAACTGACCCCATCTGTCTGTCTACACTCGCCTCTCAACCGATTCTCTTTGTCTGTCTACAAACTCCTCTCAACTGGTCCTCTGTCTGTCTACACACTCCTCACAAGTGGTCCTCTGTCGGTCTACGCTGTCCTCACAAGCGGTCCTCTGTCTGTCTTCACTCTCCTCACAACTGGTCCTCTGTCTGTCTACACTCTCTTCACAACTAATCTTTTTGTCGGTCTACTCTTTTCCCTTAACTGGTCCTCTGTCTGTCTACACTCTCCTCACAACCTATTCTCTTCGTCTGTCTACACTCTCCTCACAACTGATCCTCTGCCTGTCTACACTCTCCTCACAACTGATCTTTTTGTCGGTCTACACTCTCCTCACAACCGGTCCCATCTGCGTGTCTACACTATCCACACAATTGGACCTCTGTCTGTCTACACTCTTCCCTCAACTGGTCCTCTGTCTGTCTACACTCTCCACACAATTGGTCCTCTGTCTAGCTACACTCTCATCACAACTGATCCTCTTTACCTGTCAACACTGTCTTTTCAACTGGTCTTCGCAGTCGATCTTTGTCCAAGTTTTCCTCTGCTAGCTGACACCGGTGTTTCAGGTATCACTGGTGGGGACAATCACGCTGTCGAGGTCACAGCTACCTGTACACTAAACACAGTGGGGACAACCATCGCTCAGTTAAGCCAGCAGTGTATGAACCTCAACAGTGTACAGGAGCAACTCTCTGACGCCGCGAGTCTTTCTGGTGCCGCTTCGGCTGATATCGTCATGGACTATGTTAACTTACTGATACAAAAGGACAGTAAAACAATGTGCAGGTTTGTAGAAAATGTTCAACCATCTTCTTAAACAGATCACCAGCGTATGAGCCTTTGATATGTTGTGAAACCTGGTCAACCGACATTTGACGCGTTAGGTTACGGGGTTATGTAGGAAGGTCGGATTGCAAGATGTCAAACTGGTGTATTTCACCCGTCACCAAAAAACAACGCGTTTGTATTAATATATGCCCTTGTTATCTTGAATATAACGCCTCCACGGTCGAGTGGATAGAATGTCTCCCCGGGGGAGGAAGTGGGGGGTTCGATCCCCGGTCGCGTCGTACCAAAGGACGTTAAACGATGGTATTTGTTGTTACCCTGTCTGGCGCTTGGCATCATGGGGTTAAAACAAGGACTCGGCTCGGGGTCAGTATACTGTGTCTGCGTGGAGTATCCACGTTAAACCTGCCGCATGGTATCTCACTGGGGTAGCGATATAAAACTGGCATAAGTCCGGACTAGTACAAGCAGCCACACACACACACACACACACACACACACACACACGCACGCACGCACGCACGCACGCACGCACGCACGCACGCACGCACACACACACACACACACACACACAAACACACACACACGTGCATGCACGTCGGTATTTATCTATGCAACAGTCTTGAAGCGTCGTTTAACCCCATTTCACCTCACCTTAAGTTGAGACAGTTTCACTGTATGTTCAATTTGATAACAAACATTTGACATTATTTTCTTCACCTTGAATATATCACGTACACAACACTTATTTGCTACTAAACAATACAGTCAACTAAGCATTCCATGTACCATATTTTCAATAACTGATTCAATTATCGGTGATAGGAGCCAGTACAATAATAAGAACAACAGTAATCCCCAGTTCATATTCTGTTACAAGTAAACATCACTTAAATACTGGATTCTGTCGTTTCCGAATTTGTGTTTAAGCCGAAAAGATAACAAATAAATAGTTACATCCTTACATACCATCCTCAATACACATAAACACTAAATTACAAATGTTCTTTCGGAATATAACAAATACATCTTATGTTGTTTTTCACTTAAAGGCTGAAAGTGTGTCCACCAGATGCATTAAAAGTGCTATAATTTAGTAACTAAGATGTAAACATATCAAACTGTCTTAGGGAAGCTACCTCTCTGAGTAATGTGAGTGAGTGAGTGAGTATACTTTTTATCGCTCCTCTGGGGATTCCTGGTTAGAATTGGTCCCAAACAAACTATGTTCGTCGAAAGAAGTGACTTCATGCATCACTGGTCATGTTCAGTAACTTGATCTACCCTGACGGCCTGGTATCCAATCAGAGCCTTTCATTTCAGTCGTATTCAACGAGAAGAAGAGGGTAACTGTCTTCCAAAACAAGTTGTAGTCCGAATGATAACAAATCTTTTTTTTTGCATTAAGGGATGAAGATTCTTACACCGTTATCAAGATGGAGTACACATACACATGTACATAATGGTGTAAGTATCTACATAGACATGGTCTGGCAGGATACTGCAGTGTCTACATCATGTTTATTTCCCAGTTCTACAGATGCTACTCTCAAGGCTACTACCTGCCTGTATGCCGTCATCTACAAGTGCCGGTTTGGTGGCTCCTTTATAAAGACTGTGCCAACGCAGAACGAGACACGTATGGGACTGGCAGCTACTTGCTCCATTGTTGAAAGTAAGTACATGTTCATAGCTTGACTTTTTTATTTATTTTTTTAGTCGTAGTAAGCAATAATCACAACAGTCTGCCACAGACAAACCAGTGGCTGACATCATGAACAGACTCGTGAAGATTCCGGGGTAAAATAGGTCTTCAGCAACCCATACTTACCGTGGAAGGCGACTATGCTTGAGCGAACGGGATCAGGTGGTCAGGCTCGCTGACTTGGTTGATACATGTCATCGATCCTAATTGTGAGGATCAATGTTCATGATGTCAATCACTGGATTGTCTGGTCCGGACTCGATTATTTTACAGACCGTTAAACAACAAACAAACAAACATCATCAGCAACGTCTCCTTCTGGGTACCACCGAATCCCCTTTAGTCAACTCGAGCATGAGGAACATTCTGGGTTATTCTGACGCGGAATCGCCATGGAGGTATTACTAGATTTGGTGTGAGCATTACTGAAGAATTTGCTTCATCTATCTATGTCCATGTTTCCACATGAAAACGTACACTTCTTGTTATATTCGTATTGATATTGCATATATCATTCAGTTAAAGTTCATGTGAGCTGCATTAGAATTAGTGTCTGAATTAGTTTTGTAGCCGTAGTGAGTGAGTGAGTGAGTAAGGTTTTTACGCCGCTTTTAGCAATATTCAAGCAATATCACTCCGGAGAACACCAGAAATCACTGCTTTGCTCTTTTCGACCTACGGAATGTTTCGGTTTCGAGACTGATGTTTTCATCAGCCATTATGATAGGTATTTGATCAGTCCATCCCATACAAAGTGCAAAGACTTGACATTGCCACGCTACTGACCAGTCAGAGACTTTTATCTGTCCACATTGTATTGGTTTATTGATATCATTTGTTTGCTTTTTGACATCCTATTGACGTCACAACATAAACAAGCATAATACTACCCCTGAATAAAGAAATGTCACGTACATACTTAGTGAGACAATGACGCTGGTATGTGAAATGTCAATCTCTAAAATGTAACAGGAATGAACCAAAACATTGATTTTCCCTTATTTCAAACACTTTGCTCAGTTTGACTTTTTGCCCTTTAAATCACCTTGTGTTATGGAGTACGTACGGGTGGTGACCGAATAATTCTGAGCCTACCTGTGATTGGCTGTGTTGATGGAGTTGACTGCCCATTACTACACATACGCCAAGCTCCCTCGCTTATAGTATAGAGCCCTAGACAAGGATACATACGTTTCTACTGTTTTAAGTCTTTCTAGTGAAAGGGTTATCTAAATAATTTAGTATGAATATCTCTACAAATAACATAATGTAGCAGAGATTTATACATATTATTTAATATTTTTCAGGATTTGACATATATTAAAAAATGTTAATACGTTCATTCTATCCTATTTAACCTGTGTCAAATCATACGATGCACGTCCAGCCCTGCAAGCGACATTTGAAATCATTCACTTTATATTTGTGTCAAAAAAAATAGTTTCGTCAATTTCAAATGTACGTAAATTGAAATTAGTGTTCAAGATAATGAAGACATGACTAATTGACAAACAACTTTCTATTCCTGAAAGGTAATGGATCGTTTAAACAGTTATAGAATGGCGTCACATATGTATGTCGATCACGCAGTTTAATATTACCTTAGTTGAACAAAGGATGTTTTTCACAAAGCTAATTACAACCGCATTGTTGTACCTGTGTGTTCGGCATAAAACTCGTACACCCTTCATCGGGAGTTGCTTTAATGCTGTTATCGTGTTCCCCAGATTGTAGTAACTCGTTTTAAATGCAGAGTTTGCAATCCTTTTATTGAAACGGGAATACAAACATAAAAAAATATGGCAGGAACAAAAGAAATCACAAAACTCATTTTTCAGTATTTGCAATGATCAGTAAAAAATGATGCATTCTGTTCCAATATTTCCTCGCTATAAGTCAATATTTGCAACAGAAAACATGATATATAGATTCAACACACACTCGCTTAACATTATATGTGTTAAAGGCTCACTATAACACCTGTGTTTACTATTAAGATGTATGTATGACTGTACACTTCTTAAAATGTATGAATGTAGGTAAATAAGTATATAAGCACCTTTTATACCGTTGTATAGGTATGAGCGCAAAACAGTTCAGTTCCGCGTATAAATATGTGTATAAATGTCGAGAAATAATTGAGGCAAACGGCTTACTACTGTGTAATATTGGGAACTGTAAAAGACTACTAAATAATACAACTTCCCTGTAGTATTCCCCTGTGTAAATGTTACTAATCAGGGTAGTGTCGCCATGGTCTCGGACGTTTGGATTGCACGCACCACATCTATGACATACACCAAACATCAGTTGATCAAACGTACCAAGGTACATAGATGTCGGACCCGTGAAAATCCGGGTTAGAATATGTCTTCAGCAACCCATGCTACTCGTATGAGGCGACTAACATTGGGTGGTCAGGCTCGCTGACTTGGTTGATGCATGCCATCGTATCCCAATTGCATGGATCGATGCTTATGATATCATTCGCTCTATTATCTGGTCCAGACTCAATTATTTACAGACTCACGTCATATAGTTGGAATTATTCTGAATGCGGCGTTAAACAACAAACAAACAGATATGTATGTCGAATGTGTGTTCTTCGTCGACACTGCTTGGGTCTTCTTCTAGGGCATTGAACAGCACTCGGTCAAACGGTTTATGACTGAATGGACCCTAGTCGAAGACGACCCCGGTAAATTATCTCATAGTTCGGAATTTCAAATTTCAAGACTTTGGGGCACAGTTTGAACCTTCACCCGATCAAACCAAATAACTAAATGATTCATTTGGTTGTGTGTCCTTGACATTGATCGATACTTTGGCGTTATTAATCTTCGGGAAACCAGCCATTACATGTACTTAGTTCACAATACTTAACGCATCTTTTCGAGATTGATTGCCTTATCATCTAAAACGCCGAGTTTCTTCATAGCTTAGGTGTGAGGTGTAATGGGGTTTAACGTTGTCGACGTTTAGGATCATTGCACGTATATAGCGACGTAGACGCAGATAGAGTATACTGATTCCGAGCCCACCAATACTCATTTTATGCTAAGCAGGGTGACGACATGTACCATATGTTAACGTCTACTTGTACAGTGCGACCAAGGATCGAACCACTAACCTACCGTTCTCCGGTAAGACGCTCTATGCACTAGACCACACTAGCCTCTTGATTGCTTGAGGATACGCTGATTTTGTGTTCGAATTCTAGATTCATGCTGTCTTAATTGGACAACACAATGTCCGTGCGCGACTTCAAAGTGGAAAACTACTAACGTTAAGCAGACCTCACTGATTGAACTGCAATACTAGGTCACTGAAAATCAGTGATGACACCACGTGTTCGCGAAAAGTGTATTCATATAAAAAAAAGTAACATTCCTGGCATACGACGGCATGTTTACCCAAATCACCCACCCATGGATCGGGTTCATAGCGTCTAATATTCGGATTGAAACAAAACAGATTCCTTTACAGTTGTTATTCCAAAACAAAACTAATTACGAGATAAACCCTTCTGTGTTTTGTAATTTAAGGTAGTCTAACTGTAGATTAGATACCCCTTTTTGTCAATTTGGAGCGGAGCGCTTTAGAAACCTGCTGGCACAACCGCATTGCCAACGGAACCACCCTGAAGATGATGAATGCGGCCTCTCATGAACTGAAGACGATTGCGAAATGAGACACAAGGTTAAGATCAAAGTCGTCGCTTAAATTCTGATAATGTTCCGATAGCGATCGTATACAGTTCTAATAAGTTATTGGCAGTCATTGTTATATGCATCGATATGTGGGTTATCAATAGATCGATGTATTCATATACAAAGTTTTTGTGTTAAAGGTTTGTTAATTTTGAGGTATCTAATGGAATTAGATACCTGATTTGAATCTTATTTTATTTTCTAGAATCATGCATATTTCCGTGTTATGGTAGAATAGCCATTAACGTATCACCTCTTCATTCTCCTTACAGGTATTGTGACGGTTACTCCAGAAATAGAGGCTCTCACGACAAACCTGCTGTGTTCGAACCAAACTGCCGTGCTTGCAGCTCAACAACAATGCTTGAGTATGCACAATCTTCCGCTCAATATTCAGAACCCTCAGAGTCTGACCACTGGGGACCACAATGCTGTCATAGCGGCCAACACTCTTCTAATAAGCAACACTGTATTAGTGTGCCAGTGAGTATGCTGTGTCAGTCTGTCTGTCTGTTTGTTTGTTTGTTCTTTAGCGTCGCACTCAGCAATATTACAGCTATATGGTGGTGGTCTGTAAATAATGTCCGGACCAGACATTCCAGTGATTGATGCCATGTGTTCGATCTGGGATACGATTACATGCATCAACCAAGCTAGTGGTCCTGACCACCCGATCCCGTTTGTCGTCTGTCACGACAATTCTCGGGCACTGAAGATCAAGTCTAACCCGGATCTTCCTAGGGGCAGTATACTGTGTAGTGGCAGTAAGCTCTACAGTAACTCAGGTGATCATGCGGACCAGGTAACATGTTTAATTGATAAGACAAATGGAATGTGTACATGAACCGTAAACCCTCGCTTGAAATAACAATTGTTTGTTTGTTTATTTATTTTTAACGCCTCACTCGGCAACATTCAAGCTATATATTACCGTGGCCTGTAAATAATCGAATCTGGACAATCCAGTGATTGATATATATTCAATCAATCAATCTTTATTCGAGCACTTAAAAGGTCACAGAGCCACAGGCCCATAGAACATATGGCAGAAGTGTTAAGCACAATTTGAACTATTATTTACAAATTAGGTCCTGTATATCAGTGCGGAGTATATATATATATGGCCAAGTTTTTTTCGGAATTGTCGGAATTTCCAAATTGATTGATCTTTGATCATTAAAGTAGTATACAGGAAAATATTTTTTCTCGCAGTGGAGTACAATGGACATACAAGTAAAAACCTCTATACCCTGGCTATTTCACATTTGGAGGTTTTGTATATCTTCCACTCTCGATGCATAAATCATGGGATAACATCGAAATATTACCAAGGAATGAGGAATATTTACATAAAACAGATAGAATTCAGTGTACATATGCATTTTCAAAATTCTATAATATAAGAATTTGTTCGATAATGTCAAGGAAAATGACCATGATTGCAAATAAATGTCTATTACCCTCTGTAGAAAAGAACTGATAAATACACTTTCAAATTGTACAATCAGAAATTTCCAAAACCACCATTGAATAACAATTTTTGCACATCGGTTACCCAGTTATTCTTTCCATTCGTATTCTATAACATCATCATGTTGTAACATTTCCAAGAGTACCTCGATGAATTCATTTTAAGGAGTTTCAGTCAGTACTTAATAACGTTTAGCTGTGAATATATCAATAGAGGAATCTACCACATTCTCCATAAACCATTGCTCTAGATGTGTTGGTTTTTACACCAAGAGACCTTTCACATGCATACAAGTGAACCTTTTCGATATAATTAAATTGTTTTAATTCCCATATTTCAGCACCATAAAGTAAAATTGGATTAAATTTAACATAAAAATTCGTAAAGAATGACTAAGATATTGCGAATAACAACCCACGCCTTCGGGTACAATGACACGCTCTTAACCAAGTCACCGATTCTAACCACTGGATCCATTTGGTCGCCTCTTACGGCCAGCATAGGTTGCTGGAAACATACACTCTTCAAAAAAAGAAACGCACAGGTAGTATGTAGTTCATTGAACCTGACTACACAAAAGATCCGGTATATAAATTGGATGTATGTTGGAAAATGTTGGTTGCCTGATATTCGACAAATGGGTACGTCAAAACGCAGCCATTGTCGATTTGCAATGTATTAAACGGCATTGTTTTCACACTTGTTCAAAAATTTCATGGAGGAAAACAGTAAAGCAAATCGGAGGAGAAAGTTATGGCATTCGGGTGTCAACAGGACAACGCTCCACTGCAAACAGCTCGTGTCATGTTAGACTACCTTCATAATGCCAACATCAACGGCTTGCCCTGGCCGTCGAGATATCCATATCTCAACCCAATCGAACACCTCTAGGATGAACTCGATCGATGTGTACGTCAACGTCAGAACACGCCGCAGACACTCCAACAAATGGCCAACGCCTTACTAGCAGACTGGCGCAGAATTCCGCAGGACATAATTCGTACAATTATCAAGTCAGTGCCGAGTAGATGCACAGCCGCGATCGCTGCCCGGGCGGTCACACGAGATACTGAGTTTAGCGTCACCTTGTGGCCTTATGTGACATGACAATGAACAGTTTTCAATTCCTTTGTACAACGACAACATGTGACTATCGAGCTCCAACATTTCATATTTGTATCTATGATATTAAACTAGATATATCGATTTCATTAGGTACAATGAATTTACAAAAAAAATGTGTTTGTTTTTTTTTCTTTTGAGAACGAATTCTATTCCAGAATCGCAGGGCCCTGAAATATCAAAGATGTGGCACTTTTCATATTGTATTATTTTGTGTGAGTCAGGGCCATTGTGGACAAATAGATCTAGTACAGCATTGTGGTACAATGTTAAAATATAGGAATGACAATAATGAAAGAAACCGTTCTAGAATCAAAAATCGAAAAGAAACTGTCCAATGCATGGAGATAACACCGGCCTAGAGCTACATTTTATAAGTTAATGACATGACATTTTTCTCGTCCTTTTTCCCCACTAGAAATACTGAGGATTACTCCAAAGTTGTTCGCTGCCTCCAGTACATCATATACAGCTGCGATGATAACAGGAGTATACCCATTGCGGCCTACAGTACATCGGATAACTCGCAGCAGTTGAATGCAACATGTTCGTTTCTATCAAGTAAGATTGAAAACGTGAAAACGATCAAAAGATTCTTAATCACTTTTAACCTAACGAATTAAAGTAAGAATGTACTAAGAATTTAGAGAATATTTGGTCATTCGCCTGATCAAAGTTTTATCATAACAAATTCATTGACGCCTGGTGACATTAAACAGAGCGACATGCCCTTAAAGAGGCAATTACATTGACAATGTCAATATCGGGCGTGACCACCATTTGCGTTGATATAGACGAGGCGGTGCATTGAAGACACCAGATGATTGAAAACAGCATGGGCACTTTGTTCCAAATGTCAATCAATAATTCTGCCCAACTGAGCTAGCGTTACCAGCTGGTTCTGGTCCTGTCGTAGGTGTCTCACTATTTCATCCAAAACACGTTTATGGTCGAGAGGTCTGGAGAAACAGCCGGCCATGGAAGTACAACAATTTATGCTGCCAGGTTCTCCTGGCAGCATGTAGTCCCTTGCACGACCATCAGAGCTTTCCTGGAAACTTATCTGTGGAATAGTTTACTGTCACAGTCTTGTCTTTTGAACCTCAGCTATTCCAAGTTAGGCGTGCCGGACGGTGACGGGGAAGCAAAATTGGGCGTATCGATGGACGTCGGGGTCGGATGTTGAGCTCCCTCAACCGGTTGCGTACGGTACTGCCATAAATTGATCTCAACCCAGATGTGGCAGTTTGGTATCAATTCCATAATGCACCAACCGAATATGGTTGTCTTGTTGACGTGACGTCACACGTAGATGAATGACACCTTGGCGAGTGTTGACCTCCTATAGATAACGCCACCAAAGAGATGATATTGTGTTTCGATGAACATTAAAATGTCTGGCAACTTCGTTTTGCGCCATTCCTGTATGGCCCAGCCGTTTAAGGCGCCGCGATTCGCTGTGCAGAGTTGCGTCCCTTGGGCACGCCAGAAACCTATGATTGTGGGTTCGAATCCTGGTTCGCCCCGATTATGTTTCTAGGTTTGTCAGTACCATATCCGTGCTCGTGGGTTTCACCGAAGTGATAAATGTCTGAGACCTGCATCAAATCGGCCTTTCCTCCCACATGAAGCTGACACGCCGCGATATAACTGGAATACTGTTAAAAGCGGCGTCAAACCCAACTCACTCACTCACTCATACCCACAGAGCACACACGTTGAGTTTCAGCAAGCCATGGTATTGCATAAAGGTTATCAATTTTAAAGAGAAGTGTCTTTATGAGGATCTGATAGCTAAACAAGCCTTACATGATGTTCACGTTAAAAATACACGTGTAGCAGTATCATGCAAACAAACACACAAACATCCAAATTGTGCACCGTACATTAACATGCACTTGCAAACTGTGTATCACGACCTTCAAGTGGAGGAGATATCTTCATGAATATGTATTGAAAGATTTTGAATAAATTAATTCTTTTGAACTTTATATGAAGCACAGTTACTTTTTCTGTTAGTATAGTAGACCACTGATAGACACAAATAATAAATGTAAAAAAAATGGAATATGATTATTTATGACTGATTATGTCTACGTTGTATCAGTAATCCTTGTCTCCCGTCTTAGTTTTTTGCTTTTGTTGCAGGTAGTCCTGTCGCCTGTGTATACTCTTTATTTACTCAACTTAATGAGTGTTCACGACAAGCCGTGCAAGAATTTGGTGGAAGTGAAACAGATACGTGTTTGTAAGTTGACAGTTGACTGTCAGTTGTTACATTAACTATACATTATTAAGCACATAATGCTTCGAACATTGCATGTAATAGACCACACGACCACACTTCTTAGGCGTGTATTCCTGTTCAGAATAGACTGACCTGAACTGATCTAATCCCTAACACAGTCACTCCCATATGGTTGAAACACTCAAATCATTTACAGCTAACAAATAAACAAGTGTGCATGTGCGTGCGTGTATTTGTGTGTGTGTGTGTGTGTGTGTGTGTGTGTGTGTGTGTGTGTGTGTGTGTGTGTGTGTGTGTGTGTGTGTGTGTGTGTGTGTGACTGTGTGTATATGTTTGTGCATGTCTGTGTGTGCGTGTGCACGCGCGTGTGTGTGTGTCTATGTGTGTGTGTGTGTGAACATCATCAATTGTTTTCGGTGATCCATTCATATGTTTATCACCGCTATTTTGTTTTTTACGCCCACTTGAATCTGTATTGACGGATAATCAAGACTGATTACTTTCTGATTTTAACATTTGATATTTCGCTACGTTACTAGCAATAAGAGCAATAAAAAGGCCCGCAGTACCTTACCTTACACCTTACTGAATTCGGAAAGGTGGTCATCTATGACTTGTCTCATTGCTTCATCGCACCCCGGAGTTGTAGATCTTTGGTCATGCTTTCACTCCTTTGTTAGCCTGGTCCCGGCTCAGTATTACTTACAGGCCCTCGTGACATAGCTGTGACACTGACTGCGGAGTTAACTAAATTCATTACTCAACCGCTGTATTTCACAAAAAACGTTTAATTTATATTTTCTAGTATACTTTAAGTGTAAGTATGGAGTAGGCTCTGATAGGTTTCGATTCATATGTAATGTATCTATCAAAGGTAAGCAATAAAAGGTTCACTCCCTACTCCCGTGCTGGTCTTCCAATACTGCAAGGGGCATAAGTAGCCCAGTGGTCTAAGGATCGGCTCAATGTGCAGTGCTGCGTCTCTTACCCGTGACAGCCAGATCCGCGGATCATGGGTCAGAATCTCCTGATCAAGAGCGGTGTTCTGTATCAGATTGTCTCAAAACTATATCCGGTTTTACCAAAATGGTAAACGTCTAGGATCTGCATCACCTGTGCTTTCCTCACAAATTTATGTGATATGCCATTAAAAGGTAACTCACTTAATCCTAGGATGCAGGCTAAGACTGATGCTTGTTCATATCCACTGCTGCGGTTATGTGGCGATGCTGCAGTACGCATCTACGAAGATCAAACGAGGAATGATACCGGCTGTAAAAATGAACCAGGTATGTTGTTCTTTGTTAATATATATATACATACATACATACATACATACATACATACATACATACATACATACATACATACATACATACATATATACATACATACATACATACATACATACATACATACATACATACATACATACATACATACATACATACATACATACGTGTTGTGCAAAGGTGCAAAGGTGTTGGACCACTTTGATAAGAGAGTTCAAGAAATGTTACACGGCCAGCGCGTACGATTTCAACATTTTGTAGTAAAGTCAAGATAATTTCCACACATGCATGTTCTTTTCTTTGTGTGTGTCACAAATAATCTGCATCATTCATGAGTCTTTTGAAACAATTATGAGCCGTTTCACAAATGAAATCCTCTGTAAATCTGAGGTTTACAGAGAAAACAATATGAAATGCATAAACTGCCTTATATAAAACATCATAGTGATATTCAGGGATAGGACACTTAGGCATCCCCTTCTAGGGATAGATGAAGCAAAATCGCGGCGTTTTGTCGGTATTTGTGAAGGTTACATTTGTAAGCATTTGAATAATTATTCCTTGCGATCTATGACCACAGATACAACAGTTGAACTCTCAAATGGACATACGCACCGCGTGGACTGTTCAACGACTAAAGGGATACAGGACGGAGCTCTTGACTGCTTATTGTACCATGGTATTTACCTTGAAGTGCCTCAGTTGTCATCACCAGAAGAAACAACGGATTACATACTGAAACGTCTCACAGTGTCCCGATATAGAGACATGTGCAGGTAAAAGTCACATTGTCATGTTGAAAATATAACATAATACTCGAAGAACACAGTGGGTTCGTAATGAACGACATTTTCTTAATCCGATTTTTAAATATCTTTTATATAATAGGGGTTGAAAGCATTTAATGCAATTGGTATTGCATGCTTGCACTACGGGTTGCTTTTAATGGTTTCTGGTTTCTTTCTTATGACAATTTTATAGTTTCTACCTACCGATTAGTGTTGTGTGTGTGTGTGTGTGTGTGTGTGTGTGTGTTTGTGTGTGTGTGTGTGTGCTTGAGTGCGTGCGTGCGTGTGTGCGTGTGAGTGCGTGTGGGGGCATTCTGTTCACGGTTTCTCATGTAACATTGTTTATTTGCCTTCTCAGCAACATGTCAGCCTACCATAACGCTGTCAGCTGTACCCTTGCTGTCCTGACACAGTGCAGTCCGTCCAAGCGACACCTGTTTGCTGACCCCTATTCTACCACTCTCGGAATGACCTCATTTTGCGAACACAAGGATTTTGATAGTAGGTGTAATACAAACGCTAAAACACAAATGTTCATTGTTTTGACATACATTTTTCGATATGTTTCGGTAGATATTCGAGACTGGTTGTTCTCTGGCGTTGACCTTTTGAATTATGTTTTCTTTCAACTTTTGCTTTAGTTGCACACTAGCAATATATGACATTTCTGAGACATTTTATGCTGAAGATGCACAACTTTTCTCCTTTCTCTTGTGTCGCTGATTGTCTTTTTCAGAATTAGTATTTTCAACACATGTATCATTGACATGACAAAAATGATAATACGGCAAGTGTGAGACACCACAGGGAAGCACATTCTTTTGCAAATCGTGTCAGTGGCGGCTGCTACCGGTAGAGCAGGGCAAAGCAACCATATTGACAAATATATTCACGGCCATTACTCGGTCATTTTTGTACAAAATGTAATGAAATGTTGTAATTGTTTAGTTTGTGGTGTCATGCAATGGTTCATATGTTGACCTTGTTTTTACCATGCTCTTAAAATCTCTCAAAATGCATATCTGTCTCCGTAAACTTCGTCTCTTCTAAAATCGCCAGGCAGGTAGCTTATCTTTGACATACACTTTTTTCCATAGGATTCTGTTTAAATCAGTATTTATGCAGAGTTTAGAATTTAAGCAGAAAATATTTAAATATTAATTTTTGTGGCTGTCTTTGTTGGCATTATAAATTACATATCCAGGTGAGCTACAGCGCAGTGGCACTTTTCATATAGTAGCTCAGTTATTAGTTGTTCAGATTTTAGTTTGTATATTTCTTTAAGAAAGACATTTCAATCAAGGAAAAATACCTTTAAAATTGATTGAACAATAGTGACATAGATTTGGACATCGAGTTAGAGTTTATCGTATGTTGTTGTTCTAGAATTTGCCTCCGGTTGTGTGATGAACGCCGACCAGAGCACCTGTGAGAAATGGATGGTTAATTCCAGCACGCCCGAGCAAATGTGCAGGTAGATAGATAAAATGTTGATTGAGGATATGTCTGACCATTGCATTATTAAAACATGTGCTGCTTTGTAGCTGTTTGATTGACATTCTAGAGGTTGGTGTGTAAGAAGTAAACGAACAACTCTATGGATAACATTTTTAAGTTGTACGTTTTCTTACTGCTTTGTAGTTATGTGAAAATGGTCAATAATTTACTGTTAGTGATGGATAAAACAGACCCGTGGGGATTCCATTGTAAGATTGGTCCTCTATTGTCCTAAAGGGTGGCCAGACTCTATAACTTGAATATGAATGTGTAACAGTGCTCAGTGTCCCGGTCCTAATGCTTTCAAACCCGGGATTCGAACACACAACGACCGGATTCTGGCAGCTATAGTGTGTCGTCGTAAACCACCGAGCTGCCGTAATACCTGTTCTTGGATTTATCCCCTGGCAAGTGATATACCAAAAGTTGTCAACAATCAGACAGAACTCGGGGTATTTGGCAAGAGAATGTACATTGATTTACAACTGATTTCGGAGTAACATAAATATGTATATTTCTGATGTACGTACAATCTCCTTTAACCTCACGATATTGACAAGCCAGTGATTGACATCATGAGAATCGATTTACGCAATTAGGATACGATGGCATGCGACAACCAAGGCAGCGAGCCTAACAACCAGATCCCGATAGTCTTACGAAAAGCCCAAATTCTAACACGGAACTTCACGGGGGATCCGAGATTGGAACATGGAGCAAGGGGTTGAAAGTGTATGAACTTAATTTACTTTTTTTTGTACCCAACAGTATCATCCAAACCTTCACCGACTGCATGAAAGCCTCTGTGGAATCCTGTGGTCCAAGCACTGCTGAACTGTACACGCACCTGCTGTCATCCCAGGTCCCCGCCCCCTGTGTGCAGGGGGGAAGGACGACCACACCCATCCCTAAGAGCCGGGCTGGCAAACGTGTGGCTTCAATGTTAATGACAGTACTCGCATTTATATATTCGAGAGTTGGAGTATCTCAGGGGTGAAACCCGAACAACCTGAATGTGGACTTTCTTTTGTTCTATTTTCTTTTAGTTTCTTAAAATACGTTACAAACTCAACACATACAAATTTGACAACGGTTCAAGGGGCTTTCACGTCATTTTCGAGCTGTGACGTCATAGTACATTTTGATCGAACTTACAAATTGAGTTGCCTTTGCATGTGTTTGTGACGGGTGCCCCCGGTGGGGCAGGATATGCTCACCTTTTCGCGAACGCCTGGTATCATTACTATTTTATAGTGATTCATAAACACATACTCATGATATGATCGGAATTGTATAATTGACTTTGCTTTATGCAGAGATTTATATTGGATATGGTAAAGGTTCTGTCGCTTTATTTACCAACCTCATATTAATATTTGTTTGTGTTATCAGCTAGCACAGAACCCGATCAGAGACTGAATTCTTGTTCTGTGGTTATCTTAAGTCAAACTACAGCCAATAATTACTTATAACATATAACTCTCGGGTATTTTCTTGATTTTTATCCTCAGAAGGTCATGTTTGAAAAATATTACACTTCTAATTACACTGTCAATAACATAGGATAACATTGCAAAATACCTGGACAAATCAGAAAAACACAGGAATAACAAACCTTATAACAACTTCGATGTAGATATTTGAACATATTTAATCTCCCTTTAAGCTACGTGAAGCTGTAACTGATAATCTACATCAGCCAATTACGACTGACCCAGCGGTCAGACACACAGACGGCGATTGGCTACGCAGGAGGTCTTCGTACATGCTGACGGTCGTCTTGCTGCAGCCTCTCACTGCCGACACCAGACACTTCTGGGCGGCACTAGTGGCACTGAAAACAAGCAAAAACACTTCCAGAGTTACCATATACAATTCTGAGTAGAAATATCATATATAAAAAAAGCGCAAGGAATCTGAAAACTCTTGACACTTATTAAAAGCTTGGTGAATAAGAAAACGTAAATACCAGGTAATAACCAGTCTGGATTATGGACATATTCAATGAAGCGCAAAAGGCAAAAAGTGAAACTTATTTGAAAGTATCATACTGAGTCAGAGATGACACAAGGTGTTCGCGTAAAGGGAACACATGTCCTGTATTACCGTTAGTACACGTTTTACAGGAGCTGGTCCATCTCCTTCGTTTGAAGATTGAATAAAGGTTCAGACTCCTACACATGAGGGTAACAACATTCAAGGCCTACGTAAAGCTTTTAAAATGTTTATGCTAACGCTTTCGTTCGAAGATTGAATAAATCTTCATACGACTCATGCACATAAGTTGTTCCATCAGGGTTGCAACATTAAAGACCTTAGTAAAGCTTTTAAAATGTGTTTGATAGACTTGTGGAAGACATTTCCGAAACAATTCCACTCAACCATTGACTTTCCATTGCACGTGTTTGTGACGGGTGACATTGGTGGAACAGATACGATCACATCGGGAACAACTGTCATCATCACTAGTTATTCATAACCATATCACAATGGACATTACTTTTAATAGAGAATTCGTATGGTTATCCATAGGGTCGCTTTTATTTGTTTTGCTACAATATATACTATGGGTGTCAGAAACTTAATGAACAACTGGTGGTTATAGTGTGTCACCTTGGTGATTGTGCTTCATCATGCACTCCAGGCGTGGATTTTTATTCATGCTATCAACCACTGGTCTGACTGACCACGACTATTTATAGGTCCCCGGTTAATGCATCTAGATGGAATATTACTGAGTTCAGCCCGATTAAAGTTGCCTTCAGTCATACTGTGATATCCTCATGGACTACCAGTGACACTTTAGGACCAGTCCATTTGTTTGTGGGTTGTAAACAGGGTAGAGCCTGTTATATTGTTTGCAGCTTAACACATGCATGTAACTTCTTTACCTATTATCCACGTGAATACACCATTGATCTAACATAGAAATATTTAATAAAGTAGTGAGTATTCTTCAGACCGTCACGGTGTCTTTGAACCGAAAGATCTCTGATGAAATTTACTTACGCGCACAGGTGTCCTGGGCTAGTTGAATCCAAAGCTTGGAGTCCATGGCCACTGCCGCATGCTGCTTTAGGTGCATTCTGTACACACTGAGTGTCGAAATCTAAGAACAGACAATTATAAGAAAGATTCACTACATCATTCTGAAATAAAAAACATACAACTTTGAATTAAATAAAAATGAATGCCTTTTCTAAAATATACATAGTTCTTCATTTTTAAATTTAAACGTCGCCGTTTTAAGAATTCCACCTTCAAGACGTCTAAATATCGAAGACATGTATGACTTTATATCCCGGATTTAAATTAATATATACAAGTTTGAAATAAAATAAATATATAGTATCCATGGGCTGTATACTTTCAAAATGACTTTCAAATCTCACCGGGTTTTAAAAAAAAATGAAAATGCCAACCACTACACAAGTATAATAATGGAACTTGAATGTTGCGTCTCGAGTCTCAACAAAGACATACACGTATAAATAACGGATGGACATTTTGCCGTATATCTCACCCCCAATGTGGCCGCAGAGTTTAGCCAAGCCGTCCTGCACTGTCTGGGAGTCGGCCACCATCGGCTTTGTCACGTGGTCACTGCACTGCTCCTGTACCCACAGAGTACAGTTCACTGCCAGCTGGTAGTTCTTCAGATTACTGTATGATATAGAACGTAACTTATGAAGCACGCTGTATGTTTATGTATATTCTGTGTATGTTACACACAGTTCACTGTCAGCTGGTAGTTCTTCATATTACTGTATGATATAGAACGTAACTTATGAAGCACGCTGTATGTTTATGTATATTCTGTGTATGTTACACACAGTTCACTGTAAGCTGGTAGTTCTTCAGATTACTGTATGATATAGAACGTAACTTATGGAGCTCGCTGTATGTTTATGTATATTCTGTGTATGTAACACGTACTATTTAGTCATTTATAATTCATGCTGGGATAGTTGCTTCTGAAATAACTTCACGTTCCCTTTAATGTGCCCTTTTTGAAAATCATTTGATATCAGTCAACTGTGCCTGGTGTAAAAATGCTCAATAGTATTGTCTCATAAAAACGTAGCTCACCTGCTTGTTTGGTACTATATTTTCTCAAATGTCTAAAATGCTTGCATCAGTTCTACATAAGAAAATTCGGAAGATAGTAAATGGAAGCAAAGGGATTTTAAAAGTTCTCAAAATAAGTATTTCCGAAGCATGAATTAGATGTACATTCGAATAATACAATTCTTAAAGTTTTGTAATAACATACAATTGACAAATAATGTTACTGGTTGATAAAAGATTAAGATATTTATTTTTCTATATACGTAAATTTAAAAGGAACTCTGAAAATGGAGAAATATATTTTGGAGACTTTAAGATCTATGCCGCGCTATTTTCATCTTCCCGAGGCAAGAGGGTTAACTGGCTTTAAAAGTGGAAACTGGACTTTTATAGTCAGTTAACTCTCTTGCCTCGTGAAGATTGGCTATTTTCTGTGCGCATGTGAAATTCCGCTTCTTTACGGATGGATAACCATGCCCTAAATTCTTGCACATAAGTAAACAGAACTTTACTTTAAATTTGTAAAACTGTTAATATTGATCAATCCCTTACCCACGATGTCTGATTTTCCGTGATCCATTCATATAATTTCAACTGCTATCTTGCCTTTTTTGTCCAATGGATACTCGAGACTGGTTATTCTTTGGCTTTGATGTTTTATATTGATATTGAAAACAGACACTTGTAACTACAGGAGTTCGAGGTGGTAGTAAGCGATTTCTTAAAAATACATATACCTGCACATCGTCTTGCTTTCACTCATTGCCATAGCGTTCATAATGTAATGGCTTGTGCCTTCACTTGTTAGTTGCTTTGGGACATCTAGCAATACACTGTTGTACATTAAGCATTGATAGTAGCTGCTTCGGATGTTTTCAGTGGTGGAACAGTCCACGCTGGTGATGTCTGGGCCTGACGGAAGTCAATGAATTAATATCAAGTCGCAGGAATATGCCATGGTACATGGTACATGTATTTATAAATGATTCCCAAACGTACTCGATGAAACGACCAGAAAATGTGTATGCACATTGCAAATACCAGTGATCTGACTTACTTAATTTCTTTATTTCAGAATATATTGCTTGTTTGTTTATCTGTTTGTTTATTGTTGTTTAACGCCGCACTCAGAATATTCCAGCTATATGATGGCGGTCTGTAACAAATCGATTCTCGAACAGATAATCCACCGACTGACATCATGATCATCGATCTAAAAGCTCTTGCAACAATAAATGAATAAGAATGTTTTACAGTCAAATAACACCAAAATGATATGACAGTTAGGTTTTGAGAAAGGTTGAATATATAATGGTCCGTCGCCAGCATCCCTATGAGTATGACAGGTACAGTTTAACGTTCGGGCTGTAGATCGTATATACTAGTAACTATATTTAATTATTTACAACTTTACTCAACACACAACAGAGTTAATATAATGTTCATTAATAGCCTTTGCACACAACTACATCTCCTTAATCCATCTGCTGTTTTACTGATCATATGTGTGTGAGGATGTCTGTCAGTCCTGTTGTGACGAACCTGTAGCAAATGACGAGCAGTCTGTGCTGTTTAGCCCGTCTGTTTCATAGAAATGTAGTGAGGCCTCGCCACAGGCTGACATGTACTTTCGGGCACATAGCGACGACATCTGTGCTGACCTGACATAGATAATTCAAATGAAATCAACCTTAAATATAATTAAGATTTTGATTAGATTGTGAGGGGTTATAGCTCTGTTTCATGTATAAGACACATCAAATTAACTTTCAACGGATTTGGTATTGTAATGTAATGTATTTCATGTAAAGACTTAATGAGGTTGATATCTTCTAGTTGCTAATGATGGAATGTCAAAGATTCGATGTTTTATAGTTTTGGGGAAAAAGTAAATATCGGAAGAACCTGTTCATGGATATCAATCAGCCTTTTGTGATACCATGTACGACTATTGGGGGAAAAAAGGAAAGCAAGAATCTAATAATCTTTTAATCAGGCCTGATGTGAATTACACAATTCCTGCCTGT